ATCCACCTAGTCTGTCTCTTCATTCACCCATTATTCAAGTTTGTTCAAAGTTGGAACTAGACAGTTCCCTTCCATTTTTTCCCCCGTGGCTGTTTTGCTTAGTGAGTTTTAAAAACTAAAGTTAAGAAAAATGCTGAAAGAAAAGCATTTTCATTATAGGAAAATAGGAAATTGAAAGAAAGTGAAAAGAAAGAATGAAAGAAGCCCCAAATCTCATCATCCAGAGAAGATACAATGAAATTCTGGTATATAATTTCCTCTATTTTCTGGGTATTTTTTAAAAAGGAAAACTTTTTTCTTTTAAACTATAGGATAACCATGTTTCACATCAACACATTCTTCCCTACAGTCTCATCTTCATGGCTGTCTTATTCCCAACCCTGCCATTTTCATAGTCAATATCTGCTTTTTTTTTTTTTTTTTTTTGAGTTGGAGTCACACTCCATCACCCAGGCTGGAGTGCGGTGGCATGCTCACGGCCACCCCAGTGTCAACCTGCTGGGCTCCAGGGTCCGGGATCTTTGCTCAGCCTTCAAGTAGCTGGAACTACAGGCGCGTGCTACCATGCCCAGCTAATTTTTGATTTATTGTAGAGATGAGGTCTTGCCAAGTTGCCCAGGCGGGAATCCACTTACCTCAGCCTCCCAAGGCGCAGGATTACAGGCTGAGCCACCAAGCCCGGCTGGGAGATGATTTATTAAAAAATAAATTTTGGGGCCAGGCTCGGTAGCTCAGCCTGTAATCCCAGCACTATGGGAGGCTGAGGCGAGTGGACTGCCTGAGCCCACGGGTTAGAGACCAGCCTGGGCAGTTTGGTGAGACCTTGTTTCTACAATAAATCAAAAATTAGCTGGGTGTGGTAGTGTGCGCCTGTAGTTCCAGCGGCTACTTGGAGGGCTGAGGCAGAAGGATCAGTGGAGCCCAGCAGGTCGATGCTGAGGTGGCTGTGAGGGTGCCACTGCACTCCAACCTGGGCGACGGAGTGAGATTCCAATTCAAAAAAAAATTAAAATTAAAAATAAGTAAATAAATTTTGGGCAACTCCCTTAGGTTCCCTCCCACTCTGGGAGCTTTTCTGTCCTCTCAATAAATCCTGCTTTAGATAGATGATATAGATAGATAGATAGATAGATAGATAGATAGATAGATAGACAAAATTTTAATGTATTTTATCAATTATTTGCTTAATAAAAATTGTATATGTTTATTTATTTTTTGAGTTGGAGTCTTACTTCATCACACAGGCTGAGTTGCAGTGGCATCATCATGGCTTACCCCAGCAGCTTCTAACACCTGAGCTTAGGTGATCCTCTGTCCTCCCAAGTACCTGGAACTACAGGTGTGTGCCACCAGCATGACTAATTTTTTTTTATTTTTTGTACAGACAAGATCTCAGTATGTTGCCTAGGCTGGTCTTGAACTCCTGGGTTCAAGCAATCCTCCCACCTTGGCCTCTAAAAGTGCTGGGATTACAGGCACGAGCCACTGCACCTGGCCTAACTTCTTAATAACCATTTAAGAGGGACATAATTTTTATTTTACATTTTTGATATAATTCTGAATTTTCCTGCCTTTTCCTCATGCTATGGTTCTTCCTGCAACTGACCAGAGGCTTCCTTCCCTCAGTTCAACCAAGTAATTATCCCTCTCTCACGATACACTCAACAGAACTCAACATCCACACAAGTTTAACTAGAATCCACCTAGTCTGTCTCTTCATTCACCCATTATTCAAGTTTGTTCAAAGTTGGAACTAGACAGTTCCCTTCCATTTTTTCCCCCGTGGCTGTTTTGCTTAGTGAGTTTTAAAAACTAAAGTTAAGAAAAATGCTGAAAGAAAAGCATTTTCATTATAGGAAAATAGGAAATTGAAAGAAAGTGAAAAGAAAGAATGAAAGAAGCCCCAAATCTCATCATCCAGAGAAGATACAATGAAATTCTGGTATATAATTTCCTCTATTTTCTGGGTATTTTTTAAAAAGGAAAACTTTTTTCTTTTAAACTATAGGATAACCATGTTTCACATCAACACATTCTTCCCTACAGTCTCATCTTCATGGCTGTCTTATTCCCAACCCTGCCATTTTCATAGTCAATATCTGCTTTTTTTTTTTTTTTTTTTGAGTTGGAGTCTCACTCTGTCGCCCAGACTGGAGTGCAGTGGCTGCTCCCGGCCACCGCAGCCTCGCCCGCTGGGCTCCAGTGATCCTTCCGCCTCAGCCTTCCAAGTAGCCGGAATTACAGGCATGCGCTACCACGCCCGGCTGATTTTTTGATTTATTGTAGAGATGAGGTCTCGCTGCCCAGGCGGGTCTCAAACCCCGCAGGCTCAGGCAATCCACTCATCTCAGCCTCCCAAAGGTGCAGGATTACAGGCCGAGCCACTGAGCCCAGCCAATAACTGCTTTAATTAAGCTCAGCCCACAGGTCTAGTTAACTCTGGTGACCTTCCCAGAGCTTTGGTGTTTGGCCTTCCCAGCAAGGCATGGTTCTCTATTTTTTTGCTGCCTCCCACTCCTTCCAATTATGTAGCAAAATTTGGAGAGTAAAAGTGTGGAGCAAGATGCATAGAGAATGTTTCAACAAGAAACTGTCAACACCAGTCAGAAGTTGAGCTCCTTCCTTCTGTTTAGTTCAGCAGTCATTGTGTGTTACACAGGTAACAAGAGAAATTTCAAAGTGTCCACACATGTGACTGCCACAGAGAAAAGCATGTGTAAGATGTCAGGGTGTCTGACTGAAGGCTTGGAAGAGGGGCTGGAAATCCCAGCAGCACCCTGCTGGCCAAGTGTGGTGGTACTGCACCCCCTGGAGAAAGGAACATTGATTAGTCTGCATAGACACTGTATGGGGTCGGGCATGGTTCACCAGGGCAGACAGTTGTTAGATTGGCCTGATTCTTTTTATTATTATTATTATTGAATTGGAGTCTCACTCTGTGGCCCAGGCTGGAGTGCAGTGGCACACTCCCAGCCACCCCAGCATCGACCTGCTGGACTCCGGCAATCCTTCTGCCTCAGCCTTTCAAGTAGCCGGAACTACAGGAACACGCAATCACGCCTGGCTAATTTTTTATTTTATTGTAGAGATGAGGTCTCGCCAATTTGCCCAGACTGGTCTTGAACCCCTGGGCTCAGACAATCCACTCTCCTCGGCCTCCCAAAGTGCTGGGATTACAGGGCCTGATTCTTAAGGGCTACTACATAGAAGTCATTTTCCCCTATCATAAGAAGAAATTTACGACACACAGCAACCCTGCTATAACACCAAGATGACCTTTCATTTGTTCAAAAACAATGTAAGGTGGTAAGCAAGTGTTCACATGTACGGCTGGCATGTTAAGGAATTCACCGTGCAGGGTGGGGGTGAGGATAAAAGGCAAGGCAAGGGGCCAGGCTCCGTGGCTCAGCCTGTAATCCCAAGCTTTGGGAGGCCGAGGTGAGTGAACTGCCTGAGCCCACGGGTTCGAGACCCGCCTGGGCAACTTGGCGAGACCTCATCTCTACAATAAATCAAAAATTAGCCGGGCGTGGTAGCACATGCCTGTAGTTCCAGCTACTTGGAAGGCTGAGGTGGAAGGATCACTGGAGCCCAGCAGGTCGAGGCTGTGGTGGCCGGGAACTGCCACTGCACTCCAGTCTGGGCGACAGAGTGAGACTCCAACTCAAAAAAAAAAGGTAAGGCAAGGCACAGATAATAAAGAAAAAAGAAATATAAAGGAGAGATGGGATGGAGGATCGGCCTGGCATAAGGTACCCCTTAATGGTCCTGATGTTGTAGCTGTTTAGGACTGATGATGTCCAAACAGCCAGCATGGCAGAAATGAAAGGTACTTCATGGCAGCCTAAATCATTTGAGGTCTTCACAAGGCCACTTTGAGAAGATTAGGGGAGATTAGATTGGGGGGATTTTAAAGTTGCAGAAAATTTAGGGGTGTATGGAGGAGAAAATACACTGGTAATAATCCCAGAACAAAACAGCCCCTTCTTTTTTTTTTTGAGTTGGAGTCTCACTATGTCGCCCAGACTGGAGTGCAGTGGCCGCTCCCGGCCACCACAGCCTCGACGTGCTGGGCTCCGGTGATCCTTCCGCCTCAGCCTTCAAGTAGCCGGAATTACAGGCATGCGCTACCACGCCCAGCTGATTTTTTGATTTATTGTAGAGATGAGGTCTTGCTGCCCAGGCGGGTCTCGAACCCACAGGCTCAGGCAATCCACTCACCTCAGCCTCCCAAAGGCGTGGGATTACAGGCTGAGCCACTGAGCCCGGCAAAACAGTCCCTTCTTAAATGAGAAGCTCCCTGGCTCCCCCAACAGACACAGTCCTCTGCACTCCCAGTGGGCACTCGTACCTTGAACAAAGAGGAGAACACGTGAAATGTGTACACAGCACAAGAGCCATCCGAGTCGCACATGAGCTGGTTGATGTGGCTGCGCCAGGCCTCCTCCGCGTCATCGCAGGCTGCAGGCTGGAAAGCGGCAAGGATGGCGGAGAAGAAGGGCGAGGGAGGGGGAGAGACGCCCCTGTCACCTTCTCCAAAGCTGGAAAAATGAAAACAAAAAATGTCAAGATAGAATGTCCTTCTCATCCTTGACCAGGTTTTATGAATTTTGACCCTGAGTGTCAGCAGAATAAGACGGCTTGTCTGCCTACTCTTCCCTTCGAGGTTGCTTTGGGGACACGGCTGTCAGCAGTCACCGAGAGTCTTCTTTGATTCCAGGAAACAGAATTTCACCTCTAGAGTTTCTGTGATTCCGCCATTTCTGACTTCCTTTCTACAGACTCGAGACCTGTTTTAGCCTTCAGCAAAGGCCTCTACTTTCCCAAAGGCCATGCCCAAGACAAAGTAAGCCTCAGTTCTTGTGCTTGGGCACCCTCAGTCCTCTTCATTTTCATTAAAAAAAATTTAAAACATGTTTTGAATCTTTTTTTCTTTTTTTTTTTTTTGAGCCAGAGTCTCAGCAATGGCATGGTTACACTCACTGTGGCCTTGACCTCCTAGGTTCAGGGGATCCTTCCCAAGTAGCTGGGACTACAGGCGCATGCCACCGTGTCTGGTTAATTTGATTGACTTTTTTTGTAGAGACAAGGTCTTGCTATGTTGCCTAGGTGGGTCTCGAACTCCTAGGCTCAAAGTGCTGGGATTACAGGCATGAACAACTGTGCCCAGTCAAAAATTTTGAATCCCTCCATGGAGGGAGAATATTAACAAATGCACAAATTCAAATGCTCAGAAGACAAGGGTGGGGAGAGGAAAGGAAACCAAAGAAGAGATATTCAAGGTAAGAGAAACAGAGAGGCAGGAAGAAAGGAGAGATAACAAATAAAAATGAAAAGTGAAATTTCTTTCTAGGTTACCTTAACCTTTTCCTTTGATGGACAGAGACTCCTTACTGTAACAGAGGGCCTTTGTCTTGCCATATCAGTTTGTATTTTCAGCTTTCAGAAGAGTAATTTTAATATCCTGACTTTCTTCTCCTGAAGTAAATCTGTAGCATTATTATTTGTGACTTATTCTAGATGCTGCATTAGTCTAACCTATGGTGTTTTAATCTATTCCTCTTCATATTTTTTTTTCTTCCTATATCTATCTCACTTGTCTCAGAAATATCAGCCACCATGCTAAAAGACATCCACTTAAAGAAGAGTAGGTATTCAGCAAATACAGAGTCTCTTGTTCTAGTTTTTCAGCTCCAAATGGAAATAACTTACTTCCAAGGCTTGCCAAATCTTGCTTATCTTCTAAGCTTACAAGGCCTGGACCATGTGCCCAGGCCTTTCTTTGGCTTGTCATGTTGCTTTCCAGCCTTATGAATTTTGCATGTGGGTATCCTTTCTTGGTTCCGTGTGAGGCCCTGCGCCTGGGCTGGATGATTCTAACTCAGCTGACAGCCCGCCAAGTTCCATGTCACTTTGGACTCCTTTGCTAGGACATCCCGGCAGTGCAAAGGTGACATTTAACTTGAGTGTGCATGTAATACAGTGCTCCATGCACAACCACACCCCTCGTTTCCACCCAGGGCTTCATTACCTTGCGAGAGTAAACTGGTCCAGGCCACGATTGCCTTTTTCCTCCCCCTCGGTCATATCCAGGCTAAAGCTGTCGCTGCATTCAAAGGCTACTGGGAGTTCATTGATGGAACTAGAAAGATCATCCTCATGCACAGTGGTGTCTTCTTCCTCCCGGACAGCTTCCACCTAGGAGAATAAAAAGAGAAAAGAGTCCCCCAATGTGTAAGAACATACACAGGGCGATCTGTTCAACTAAAGAAAAAAGTAAAGAGACTAATGCTGAGAGTGACAGAAAAGGGGACATTTGTTTTATAGCTAAATACAATCACTTTTTTTTTTAATGGAAAATGTAGTTTATTTAGAAAGTAAATGAGAGAGAGAGGAGATTCACCTTCCTGAAGGTGGGGGTTGGAGGACAAAGCTAGGAAACGTGACCATAGCTCAAGGTACCACACAGACACACCAGAGTTTAACAAAGCAGTGGCCTAAATACAGTGACTTTCTAGGCTGACTAAGGAGTTCTCTGAAGTTCTGTCCATTCTTTGTCTTCTTTTCAGTCTCTTCCACAATGGTCCTCCACTGGGACTCTCAATAGATTCTGGAAAAGACCATCAAGACCTCTGGTCCAACCTCCACATTTTACAGATGAGGACATGAAGCCACACATGAGAAAGGGACTTGCCTCATCTCAGGTCAATAACCACAGTCGGAGCTGGAGTGAGAAACACACTGGAGTGAGAAACACACTGCTGTCGAGTCACTACTCCTTCCATGGCACAGCCCAGCCTTCTAAAGTAAGCCTATCCAGAGTTAATTCTCTGGTACAGAATTCCTTTACTAACGGAAACTAGAACCTGGAATCATCAGTGACCGGCACAGTAGATGCTCAAGAAGTATCTGCAGTGCGCATGAGTGAACCTGAGTCCTTCATGGAGACTGCTGGTGGCTAGGACTTTCTCCATTAGGAATTCACTGAGATCTATTTACATATATGCTTTACCCTTGAGCATACCCTTGAGATGAGTATCTGCTGTTTTCTTGCTACAGAGTGTGGAATGAGCAGGACAATGAAAGGGCTCTAGGGTGGGCAGAACCTGGCTCAATGAGAGGCAGGAAAGGGACACAGCAAGTAAAATGGAAAAAGGCTGGGCTTGAGCCTGGGCCAGGGGAAATCAGCAGAGGACTGATTGTTCTTTAGGAGAGGAAGGAAGGCCACTGGATTACAGATCAGAAGAGGAGAGGAAGAAAACACACGTACAGGTTTCAGTGAGTCATTTTCTTAAAACAAAAACAAACTCTAGGCAAAATAGAAGTGTATGTGAAGTAGAGTTTTATCATGGGTTAACATCAGGCCACCCACTTAGTATGTATGGAGTATTTTGAATCTAGGATTAATAGGACAAATTAACAGGAATGTTAAAGATATATTCAGATATCCCACATCTTTGCAGGAATTGCTGGTAAATACTGAGTTTCAGAGGTTCATCCATAACTGCTTCTTTCTGCTTTTTAAGACTATAGTGGTGCCAGCTAGGCTGGCCATGGTGCTGGGTCTAGATTATAGTGTATGTTCACTTAATGTATTAGGAAGAACTGAGTTCTTACTGAAATACCTTTTATTTCCCTCTCTTCAACATCATAGATGTATCAAACATTGCAGAAACCTAGCTCATGTGAAAAACAGGGATAGCTCTTCAGAAATGAGACTCAACCTTTCCTTGGTGGGATTAGATGATTTCTGCTACTTCCTATGAGAAATCTGTGTACTTTGGCATTCAAATTAGAGAAATGGAGACCATGACTATACCAATACTGAGAAATAGCAAATGCTAATAATGTCACATATATTTTGTGATTTTTTTTTTTCCATGAAATCTAACTTTTCAAATCTTAGGATTCTGGCATTTTAACCCAGACAAGGTTTACTCTTTTTTTTGGCTGAAAAAAAACTCTGTTAACACCAAGAATCCTGATCACAGTCCCATTGCAATGGGGCAGTCATAGAAATAATTCTTATTTAAGATTCAGTATTTTTAGGTAATTGCAATTTGGTGGTGATCCTTGGTTTAAAGCATATCGATTTTTCTAAATTTTCTGATTTGTTTTTAGTCTACTATAAAATATTACAAAATAGCAACTATTAAACTTTTCCATTAGAAATATCAGAAGGAATATACTTTTATACATTTTTTTCTATTTCTTCTTTCAAACTTGCACAACCATAACCAATCTCAGGATAAAGAATGCTTTACTCTAGCCTAATAGCAATAGATTATTTTGTTATTTGTACTATAAGAAAATACAATTCGCCGGGCTCGGTGGCTCAGCCTGTAATCCCGCACCTTTGGGAGGCTGAGGTGAGTGAATTGCCTGAGCCTGTGAGTCGAGACCGGCCTGGGCAGCGAGACCTCATCTCTACAATAAATCAAAAAATCAGCCGGGCGTGGTAGCGCATGCCTGTAATTCCGGCTACTTGGAAGGCTGAGGCAGAAGGATCGCCGGAGCCCAGCAGGTTGAGGCTGCGGTGGTCATGAGCTTGCTCCTGTACTCCAGCCTGGGAGACAGAGTAGAACTCTGACTCAAAAAAAAAAAAAGAAAATACAATTCTATGCTGATAGGCATATATGTGGGCACAGCATGTGAGTGGATAGTTTTGTAGGCAGGATATTTTCTGGAAATTTTAATAAAATAAACTTTAAATGAAATATACACTGTTAGTTTTTTTTTTTAAGCCAAACTTTTTAAATGAGGAATTTCTAGTTTTCTTCTCAGAGAGTCTTGCTAGGAGTGTTTTGTGTCAATCTGGCATAATACTGTGATTGACATTTAAAAAAATTCTGATAGTATGCCAGAACACTGAATCAATTATACAATTTGAATCAATGTACAAATTGTATAATTGTTTTCTACATAGGAAGAAAATTTCCCAAATACGTGCATCCACCCACGCCTCACTTAGCATATTGTTTTATAAAAGTCATGACAAAGAACAGCAGTTTCCCAGTCACAGGGTTCCAGGACATATACCAATTTGTTTTGCCATCAGCAGTGTGCATGCAGAATGCTTCCTTTTAAAAAGACCTTCGATGAAATCCTTTTCCACCAAGATGGCTGCTCAACTTGTGAAGCTAAAACAGTTTCAAAACGTGGGCTCAGATGTACAAACCAGTTATTTCAAAAAAGAAAGAAAGGGAAAGATAATCTCTACACTGTCGACCCTTTAAGAATTCTCAGAAAATTGGAGTCCTTTAAAAAACAAAACAAAACTACAAATCATTATTGCCCAAATCTCTTCACCTTTGAACCCTCAGAAATCTGCAGATTGTTCATATCAGGCAAAGATGCATCAAAGCTAGCCATTCTGGTGTTAAAGGAATGAGGGTCGGCAGGGGTGGAGTCACAGGCCGTGGCGAGCAGCTCCATGGAATTGGCCTCCTCAGATGGAGAGAGCGTCATGATCTGTTTAAAAAGCAAAGGAAATAAAACACAGTGTGATGTTCCCATTGTTTCAAAGTTCAAATCATTCTTTACTAAGAGTCCAAACCATTGTTCTCTAGTTGTTGGTTGATCAGTCTTAATTTTTTAACTTCTTTATTTCACTGTTATCGGACCTTCCTTAAACATAGCCGCTGGTAATGCAGCCCTCTAAAACACCAATACCTGCATTTTCAGATAAGCACATCCAGCTGTCTGTCATATCTCCTATAAGTTTAGAGATCTGAGAAATTTCTAAAAGGATTCCAGCATCATAAAAGTTATTTGGGAAAAATCTAGGCCTTAACAGATTTGAAGACTTTCAGGGTAAATCACATATACCCCAGCATTTGTCTCCATGTGCCATCTACAGAGAGGACTCGGGCAGTTAGAAGCTATTAGACACCACTGACAGTTCTGCTTAAGTTCAGCCACTGGGGAAGTTTCTTTTGCTGCCACTAGAAACTATATGTCTGTACTAATCACAAAAAAATCAGTCTCCAAGTTCCTCAAGCTGCTTACTGGGATATACTTACTAGGTCCGAGTGCTCCAGGATCTGGCTGGCTGTGAGGTCCTCCTCCTCGGATGACTCATCAGAGTCCTCATGGTTCATTTTATTGAGGCTGGGAGAGCTTCCTGAAAGCTGGCGCTCCTCCAGAATCTGCATGTCACACTTGTCCAGGCTGTCCAGAGAACGTCTACGTACTCCCCAGTTGAAATTGTCCATGCTCTCACCCTGAAATCATACCATCAGCTGGTTGATTTATGCCAGAATCCTCCTGCATGCACAACTTCACCCATTCGGTGTGTCATAGCTTACAAACGAACGTTGTCCTCATCAACTCTTAGGCCCACATCAACTCTGGTACCCAAACTTTTGTTTACCCGATGTGAAAAGTAGTAAAAGCACACTAATTTTCGTGTAGATGCATGTGAAGTCATAGAAATGATTACCTTCTTTTTTGGGGGCATGGCGGGTAATCATTACATTTTGTTAAAAGTTGATTTGGTAGAACCCTATAAATGATCTGTGTTTTTTAAAAAGAGACCATGAATATTAAAACAACGTCAAAAGAGGTGTCTCCCATCCCCAGCCCCCCAGTTGCAGTCGGCCCGCTTAGTACTGTTTTCAGGAGAAGAAAATAGGCGCTATGCTTGTAGCACATTCCAGAATCCTTTGGGTATTAAGTGGGAGAGCATTAGGTAAACATTCCAGCCTGATTCTGCCACAGCGGTTTTCACAGATAAAACGCAGAGTTAAAAACTATCGGAGAGCAGCTGGGCAAAGTCTGATGGATCATGCACTATGCAGAGGCCAGAGCAGCATGGTTTGACTTTTGCTTTAGGCTGATTTTGAAATGATTGTCCCAACATGGAAAACCCGAAACTTCCGACTCAGTACCAAATACGATTGCTGACTTGTAGATTTTGATTTGCTGAGACCTAGCTCAAGAGGCCTTGTAAGTGTTCAACAAAGTTTTCAGTTGTAGTCAGACTTTCTCTACAGACAATCAGACATTAGATAAGTTCATAGGACTAACATAAATTTTCTTTCTAGCAATGAATTTGCTTGTTTTTTCTCTGTTAAGATAAGAATAAAAGAAGAAAAATATTACCTACCCCACTGATAAATAAATGTTTAACCAAAATAAATAGGAAATCTGAACAAAACCTAGCACAGAATCTTTTCATCATTGGTATTTTGAAACACTGCCTGATGGTTCACTGAAAGGAAATAAAACACCTTTTTCTGAAGAGAGCTCAGGAAACAGCGTAATAAATTGAGAGATGCAAATTATTGTTAAACCCAGTGAGCTAAAATTTATTAATTTTCCTCTGGTTTAAGGGTCTGTTGTTTCCTAGTTAGACAAGCTGGCCATTCCCACAGATCTCTCAAACAACAGATGCTTAGCTTTTTCAGTGTCTTTTTTTTTTGGCTATTTATGGTAGAAGGCAACAGGTAAGAGTCCTAAACATATTCTAGATCTAACATAGAAACTGCTATCATTATTCATCTTCATTGGTGATATTTATGTGTTTGATGATAAAAAGAAGGCAGACCCAGAATGTTGTTTCCATATTCTGTAGCTGCTGTTTTTATCTGTGTCTGCTGTGACAAATTACCACCAATTAATTTTTTTTCCTGACAGAAAAAGGCTAACTGTTGTGCTGAGATTTAAAAATAGCTATTGCAGTGAGAAAATGGGGGGGGGAAAAGTGGGAGAGGCAAAAGTTTGGGGAAGGAAAGGAAAGTTCAAATGTAAAAAAAGGAAAAAAGATAAAAATGAGAATACAGAGTAAAACAAGAAGAACATGAAAATTACAAGGAAAATATACAAACACAAATCCACAAAACTGATTCTCTTGTACCAAACGAATAGATGGATGAGTTTGGTAAACTCTCTTCGGCAACAATTCTCGCTTAACAGTAACCAGAGTGGCAGCTCGGTGAAGACCTGAACCAGGCATGAGAACAGGGAGGCAGGGAAAGCTGTTCTTGCAGAACTAAGACCTGCCTGTCGTGCCAGAGGATGTGATATCTCCACTTGCAGCAAAGATGATGAAATGGTTTCCCCGCTGGTGACTGAGGGGTTGGGATGGAAGGGCTGCAGCCTGGCCCCAGTTAAAGCCCACGATAACTAAAAGTCCACCAGGCTTTCTCAGCATGGCGCAGGGGGAGGCCTGATGGGACAGCCACCCTCCTCCTTTCTCTCCCTCAAATGCCACATTTGTATTTTCTGTTACATACAAAGTTAAAAGTTAAAACAGTGTTTTAGTGATGATGCCAGATTTTATAAGTATGAGAAAGTGCAGAAGATGGCTAACTATTTCAGATGGACAATTTGTATGTCATTTATCAAACTTAAAAATCACTCAGGATTTATGTGGATATGGGCAAGTATTAATAATTGGATGTTCTATAAATGTTGGAAATAGGCAGGGCTCGGTGGCTCAGCCTGTAATCCCAGCACTTTGGGAGGCTGAGGCGAGTGGACTGCCTGAGCCCTGGGGGGTTTGGGCCCAGCCCGGGCAACTTGGCGAGACCTCATCTCTACAATAAATCAAAAATTAGCTGGGTGTGGTAGTGAGTGCCTGTGGTTCTGGCTACTTGGAAGGCTGATGCTGGAGGATCACCAGAGCCTAGCAGGTCGAAGCTGGGGTGGTCGTGAGAGTGCCACTACACTCCAGCCTGGGCAATGAAGTGAGACTCCAACTCAAAATAAAAATGTTGAAAATAATATTCTTGGAAACAATTATTTCATACTGGAACTCTGTCAAATAAGAATTGTTGTTGAAGGAACCTGGGTACACTGGGGTCAAAATATGTTCCCCTAAATGTATTATTTAGAGTAGGTCTGATATACATAGATGTAGAGTGATCTTAGGTCAGTTTGCCCAAGAGGATATTGGCAGATGTCTGTTGTCTGGGTGTAATTATTATCAGCATCCTCTCTCACTTGCAAAAGATTCCTGGTTTGGATGAAAATTTATCTCACAGAGACAGCTTCTAATTCCCAGAAAAAAAAAGGTTTGAATTGGAAGTGAATGTGGTATATAGTTAGATGCAGATTGTTTATTTCACTTTTAATAAGAGAATTTAACAACAAAACCCATCCAGCTGTGTAACTGCCTAGCCATAAATAGGATTTCTATGATCATATTTGAAAACTCCCTTTTTCTCAAGAGATACAATCATGCAACTTTCAGAACTAGGCTTAAAAAGGTTTTAAAACATCTTGTATTTTATGTTTTAGGAAACATTTCCATACTAGAGCAGCCAATAAAAATACCTCTTATGTCACACACACCTAGATGGATGTTTGCACGCAAATAAGCATACATATACTGGAGGGGAGGAAAAAAGCAATTATGTTGTTATAAATATGCAATGATGCAAAACATTTGCTAGTATATCTGAATGAAAAATAGTGTCATCTTACCTGAAGTTCCTGGGTAGCAGTTGAATGGACAGAAAAACAAATAAAAGGTCTATTTAAAATGATTATATTAAAGATACTCTACTGCATTTGTCTTAGTTTTAATACAATAGCAATTAACAGCACTAAAAATATACACTTCAGTAGATACAATTAAAAAAAAAAAGGTAAACATACACTAACCTCAAAGAGAAAAGTCAGTATCAAACTCAGAAATTCCAAATCTCTTAGTGGTGGATGATGTAGCAGAGGCCACAAATCATTGATACAATTTCTGAAATAGCTTTCCACTTCAGTGACAACTTTGGTCCCCTCAACACTTTTTTTTTTTTTTTTTTTAGAATGCCTAAATATATATTTGTGAGAAAAGTGTTTAATGTCATGGGAAAACAAATGAGGTTCATCAACTGGAAAAAAAGGTGGCATCACTTGAGCCTGTTCACAAATTAAAAGTGTTTGTGAGTGTGATCTCTTTACAGTTGACATGCAATTAATAGCAAAGACCCAACACCTTCTAAAGATTCTGGAAAGTTCAAGGGCAAACCCCTGCAGACATCATTCAATACATTTGGAGACTATTTAATGAAAATAAATAGATATGACAGCACCAACTTGTCTTTGTTTTTTGACAAGTGTGTTTTGATCTAGGTGCCAAATGTACTCAACTATCTCAGATGAGGATATACTAAAATTATTCCTTAATGACAGTACAAGGGACTAACATTTAGATGTCAACCAGGTGTCTGACACTGTGTTAGAAGTTATAGTTAGGCTGCTTTATTTAATCCTCATATCGGTCCTATAAGTTAAATATACCTTATCCAAAATGCTTGGGACAAGAAGGGTTTTAGATTTCAGATTTTTTTGAATTTTGGAATATTTGTACCTACAGAATGAGCTATGTTGAAGATGGGACCCAAGTGTAAACACAAAATTCATCCATCCATCCATCATCTGAGTTGGGGTCTCACTCTGTTGCCCAGGCTAGAGTGCAGTGGAATGATCATGACTCATTGCAGCCTTGAACTCCCAGGCTCAGGCAATCCTTCCACCTGAGCCTCCCAAGTAGCTGAGACTACAGGCTTGTGCCACTATGCCCGGCTAATTATTTTTTGTTTTTTGTAGTCAATCTTGCTATATTGCCTAGGCTGGTCTGGAACTCCTGGGCTCAAGCAATCCTCCCCACTAGGCCTCTCAAAGTTCTGGGATTACAGGTGTGAGCCACTGTGCCTGGCTCATTTATGTTTTATATATATCCTATACAAATAGCCTGAAGGTAATTTTATGTACTATTTTAAATAATTTTGTGTATGAAACAAAGTTTTGGCTGACTTATGACCTGACACATGAGGTCAGGTGTGAAATTTTTCACTTGTGGCATTCATTATGTCAGTGCTCAAAAAGTGTCGAGTTTTGGAGCATTTTGATTGTGGATTTTCCAGTTGGGGATGCTGAACCTGTATTATGATACCCAATTAATAGACAAAGCAGAAACCAAGAGGTATTGCATCCATGCTCAAGGTCACATAGCTAGGTCAGTGGCAAAGCTGAAATTCAAACTTGGAGCCGCTGGACTTCGAAGTCCACGCATTTCACTCTGCCGCTCTGTAAGCATGTTAGAATCCCTTATTATGACTTATTGAGAAGTAGCAGAACATTCCCAAAAGGTTTATTTTATTTGGATAAAATGAACACTCTCACCCACTTGAGTTTCTCATAAAATCTGAATCAAATAATAAAAGATAAAAATGATCACTGTGATTTTTTTAGTTGTTGTTGGCTAGGGCAATAGAGAGAAGACAGAAGGAAGATGTGGTATTCCTAACTTCTTGCCTGTGAGAAACATGAGTATAATATTTATTTTTGAGTGGTGGGCATCTCAGATTTTTCCCTCTATTTTGACGGAAATTAAATTTGTGAGTTGTTCTGAACTTGTGTCAGTTTCCTCTGCTTTACATCATTCCTGCTCAGTCATGCCACATAACATTTTTCTCTGGCTGACACAGGAAAATGATGTCTATCTTTCTTCATCAGCTTTTTTCTTCCCTAATTTAATTTCCAGAACGAAGAGGGTCTTTACACTTGAATTCTAACCTAAGAGCAAACTTTAGGTCAGTTGCCAGATCAGGGAGGTAGTCTTTTGATATTAACTGAACTCTGACCTCTAGCTCAGAGACACCATTTTTTGCTTGAGAAATAAAGTTGATTATGTATTGTCACACAGGCTGGAGTGCAGCAGTGCCACCATAACTCACTGCAGCCTCAAATTCCTGGGCTAAGTGATCCTCTCACCTCAGCCTCCAGAGTAGCTGGGACTATGGGTGTGTGCCATTGTGCCCAGCTATTTCAGAAAAAAAAAATTTTTTTTGGTAGAGGTAGGATCTCACTACGTTTCCCAGGCTGGTCTCAAACTCCTGGCCTCAAATGATCCATCTGCCTTGGGCGTGAGCCACACTGTACCCAGCCAAAAAGACATTTTGAAAGTATTCAAAACAGTTGTATTTTGTTTTAGTCTTTTAAGGCAATTTTTATTGCATTAAGCGTATGCTTTCTCTATCACTAATTATACCGGAAAACTCTGCAATACTTTTTATTGGTTCTAGAGCATTTCAAGTTGAAAATTAAGCTGATACTGATTTTAAGAATGCCTTATCATCAGTGCCCTTATATTTCTTAAGAATGGGGTCTGCTAGACTTGTTTTCCAGGGAAAGAATCGGTAAGGAACACATTCTTTATCCTGAGGACATGATTCTCTTCTGCTGAGGCAGAATCCTGGGAGTTCAGTGGGCCAGGAAGGACCACAGCAGATAGCTCATGGCCTCAACTGGACATAGGCAGGTTAGTTGATAAAAATATCCTTTTAGGGAAGGCAAGCAGGTACTTAAAGCATTGTTTCCCACAAACTTGTAAAGTTAATGAGGTTCCTACCCAACACAGGACATAACAAACTTTGAATTTGGGCCTCTATAATTGTTAGACTAGCTGAGAGCCCTTTGGGAAATATGTATGGTGCAGTTAAACACGAGCTGACACCACCATTAGTCAGGCTCTGTACTAAGCACCCTGACATAAGCGAATCTCACTTAAGTGAACTGAGTGTTCGTCCTATGAAATCAAAGACTGCTTCTTAGCTGGGACAGCCCCTAAGCTATTGAAATGAAGGTGATTGACAGGGCGATGCTCCTCCTTCTGATCCCTGTTTTCAAAAACATGATTCATAGCTGAAAGCATCTTATTACTATGATTATCGTTCAAAATAAATGAACGTGCCTGTTGAGACTTGAATTCAGCTGCTCTCGGTGTCTGGAACGCTGGCACCCACTAAGGGCAGAGCAAAGAGCTCTCTCGTGTATGTTACAGTGTGTCTCAAGTTCTAATGATTTCATCAAGCACAGCACAAAAATGCTGGGTCCCTCCGGCTCTGGTCTCATGTTGTAGCAGGCAAGCTTTGAAGTCACTGAATTTGAGCAACTTCACAATTGAAATAATGAAATGCTTAGCATATTTTACCCAGGTATCAGTGAACAGGTTCAGTACTGAAATGTTTTAGTGACTTTTTTTTACAGAGTTCAGTTTTGGAACACACACACACACACACACACACACACACACACACACACACACACACACACCCCCCGTCTTTGTGTGGTCATTAAAACTCAGGCCTTTGCCACTTAGAAATAACTTGGCAGCTTCTGCCGTGGGCTCAGACAGGAAGGGTGTGGTAGTTCTTGCCAAAGTTAAGCTGCTGCACTTTGAATAAGTTGGTTCAAAATAAAGTTTACAACGCTCCCATTAAAGAACTCATTATTTAGCAGCTATAAAAGACACTGTTTCGTCAGTCAAGGCAAAAGTCAAAGGGCAAAGGGCTTATTTTGGTAGAGAATGTACCATACCTCTCCATCCTCCAGCTCTACATCGAGGAAGTCGAAGTCTCTGAAGACTCTGAATTGCTGTTCACTGTTGGTATCATCCATGTTTTCTTGTTCTCGGGCGCCGTCCTCGGAAGACACCAAGCTCGTCTGGTGCTCAAGCACATCCAGATCGCCACATGACGAAAAAATCACCTATGGATTGAGAGTCCTTGCCTGAGAAACTGTTCTTCTCCCTTTTGTGTGTGCTACGAACAGCTGGAATGGGCTCTTCACAGCACTGTACTTCCAATACACACCTAATTCCTTAAGTGGGTATTTTTAGAATGTTCTTGTATTATTTATGTTGGACAGGTGCCTTCAGATTAAACTCGTGGCAACGATGCAAGTTCATGTACCAGGACAATGATCAAGAGTCAAGTCGCTGCCTCTTAGTGGATGAATGGAGTGTGTGTGTGTGTGTGTGTGTGTGTGTGTGTATAAAACAACCGAGCATGTGCTCACAAACTGAGGCAGACAAAAAAACCAAACAACTTCCACTGCTTCTGAACTGACTGAGGTGAGAAACTGTACACATTTATACACACATATATCAAATACATATAAATAATATTTTAAGGACTACTGAAACCAAGATATGTTATTGCACAGTGAACTGGGAGAGCAAAGGATTTAACTCTTGTATAGATAAACCAGGGACTGATAAGGACTAAGAAACCGAAGACAAAAAGTACAATACTTGTTCACAGAAGAGCAGCTGAGTGGCCGTGCCCATAATTTATACTTAAATTCCTGTCCTGTTGATTTGAACAAAACATTTCTTACTTGTAAAATCTTTAGAGTGTTAATGTTTCAAATTAACTTTTATGCTTTGGTTCTTTTCACTGAGCCATTTTTAATGGAACTTTCTAGAAAGAGTATACTGCAAATGAACCTAAATGTTTTGTTCTCCAGCTTTCATTGACATAGATTGATATTAAATAAAACTACCATTATTACTTGTATGGTCATTCTAATGTCTTGGTTGTCCTTAAAAAGTAGGCAACTCATTTATAAGGATTTCTATGTAACAAGCATCTCTCAAAAGCAAAAAGTGTATGAATTCCAAAGGTGCTTCTTCTCTCTAGTGTTTAAGAATAGGGATCTGACGTGCCCTACATTCTCGTAAATGGTACATGTCACGTAGTTTTGCATAGGGTTTACAAATGGGTATGTGAGATTCATAACCTGGAGGACCAGCCAACGAGTCAGTGAGAGACGAGACACAAGAATTCTGATTTCCTCAGCTGAAGGTTCTCTTCCCTACTTAGTATGGCTTCTCTTACTTGTAATGTACTTCAGGCAAATATTTCTAGCTGGAAAGGCCTCAGCTCACGGTGGGATAGTATGAATCCGTAGGAGAAAGGGCCAGTCACAACCACAGTAAGTAATAGGCCTTGCTGGTGGTGCTGCACTGCAGAGGCAAAACATACTTCTTTCCACTATGGACTGGGAGGTTCTCTCTGCCCCGTCATTGTCCCCTCTGTCCTAAAGAATGTCACAAGAGCAGCAACAAACCCACTGATCAATAGCACTAAAAAGGTAACTTAAATGAAGGCCCAGCTTAGCTGAAGGCTGGTTGGGTGCTTTCCCAGACAATGAGAAATATCACTTTGCACCTTAGTAAGTATTGATGAGCTTCTAATATTTCACCTGCTCTTGAACTATGCTAGTCGATGCACTTCAAATTTTTAAAAATAGCTCTGCAGAGAAATTTGTTGACTGATTCTTACTTTATTTGGGAAATTATTTAGTTTGCTATTTCTTTTTTGTAAATAATAATGATGCTGTGATATAGATGAAATAAAAATACTTGGTAAAACAAGGTGGCATTTTTTATTGCTTTTGCTATAACATACTCACACAATTCAAAGTTTTCTAAATATTGTAAGAGTTTCCAAAGCTTATAATATTTCAGTCATTCGTTGATTCATTCAAAAGCTCAGTGGCACAGTTTTTGGGTTGTATTTTAATATAACATTAGTGGGAGTTTATATGAGGAAAAAACATGGTAATATATCATAATTTTCATCTTCATCTTATGTGACTAAAATAATGACATCACAGCAAAAAGTGTGTGTACAGCGAGTAAAACTACATCCAAAAGGAATGAGCACGTATGTCATACATGGTGGTCAGTAGAGATTAACATATATATCATAAGAAAGTTGGGCATATTTACAAAAAAAAAAAAAAATCCAGCTGGGTGCGGTGGCTCATGCCTATAATCCTAGAACTTTGGGGGGCCAAGATGAGAGGTTTGCCTGAGTCCACAACTTGGCGAGACCTCATCTCTACAGTAAATCCAAAAACTAGTTGGGCATGGTGGCACACACCTATAGTTCCAGCTACTTGGCAGGCTGAGGCAAAAGGATCGCCTAAGCCCAGAAGGTCGAAGCTGCAGTGTCCGTGAGCATGCCACTGCACTCCAGCCCGGGTGACAGAGTGAGACTCCAACTCAAAAAAAAAAAAAAAATCCATGAAATTAAAAAAGTGAAAATAACTGAGTATTCATAAACTGGAGCAAACAGACAACAAAATCTTCTAGTTTATTCACTCAGTGAGATTAAAAAGCATGGTGTAACGAGAAACAACCCAGGGGTTTGATCATTATGGTAGACATCACACTTGTCAATTGTAGTCAAATCCTCTAAACGAAATGACCAAAGGCAAAGACAGACCAAAGGCAAAAAAGATATGATACCCAAATAACTGTCATACATGACAAAACTTACTGATGGATTTTTGCTTAATCCCACTTCTTGACCACAGAGAGAGAGGACGTGAACCAACTTTTCTTTTGTCCTCTTCTGGAAAAGAAACACAAGGCAGGTTTTCATTATGGGGTCCTGGGAGAAAATCTGTTCAAATTCTGTAGCTGCTAGTCACACAGGGAGATGGCACTTGAAATGTGGCCAGTGAGAGTTGAGGTGTAAAACACACAAAGACTTGGTATGAAAAAAATATTTAAAATACTTCATGAATAACTGTACAATATTGATAACATGTAGAAATAATATTTTAGACCTACTGGGTTAAATAATATTTGTTATTAACATTAATTTTGCCCATTTCTTTCTGCTTTTTAAAAAGGTGACTATTAGAACATTTAAAATGAAGCTCACATTATGTTTCTCTAGACATGGTGATCAAAATAATCTGAAGGGGTGTGTGTATGAGAAAATCAGTCCCTAGGTTCTTAGGTAAATAGCCACTGGTCTCTTTGATAATCCTTTCTTATATGCTACAACTTTCAGTAAGAGCAAGGCTTTCTTTTACACCTAAATGAAATCTATTATGTTATACTACATGTCTGTTTTCCTCAAATGGGATAATAATTTTACCTTCTACAGAACAACAAAAATTCAATTATTTGTAAGCCATCTTAAATCTTTCTCAGTTTATTTTTCCTAAAGTGAAACAGATTCCATTCCTTTCATTTTTCTTCATAAACCTGTTTTCCAGCACCGTAAGCATGGGGATTCTTGTGTAAACCATCAGTTTCTTCCAGTAACAGATAAACTAGGTCTCAGAATGATTGGTGAGTTGAGAATGAAAAGGAGGAGTCACCAGGGCCTGAAGAATGTGGGTGTACTTCAGAACTGCTCTTTTTTTTTTTTAGATTCGAGAATATAGTTTATTTAAAAGTAACTTAGAGAGAGAGAGGGAGGGAGAGAGAGAGAGAGAAGGAGAGAGAGAGAGAGAAGATTTACCTCCCCAAGGTTGGGGAGGAAGCCAAAGCTAGGAAGCACAGTGACAGCCATAGCTCAAAGAGCACATGGCCCCACCAGAGTCTAGTAAGGCAATGGTGGCAATGATCTTGCAATGGCTCAAAATGGCTTTTTTTTTTTTTTTTTTTTTTAAGATAGACCTGCTGGGCTCCGGCAATCCTTTTGCCTCAGCCTCTCATAGAATGGCTCTTTTTTTTTTTTTAGAAAGTAAGATTTACTGAGAGGGCAGAAAAGCTCCCACAGTAGGACGAGACCCAAAGGGGTTGCCCCAAGAACAGCTCTTAAAGCAATCTTCCTACACTCTTTAAAATGATTCTCTCCCCCTTTAATCTGATTTAAGTTTGTTAGGTAGAAACTGCTAGGAAGTTGATATCACTCTTAGATTTTCCTTCTTAATGGAACTTAATTTGGTTCATCCTAAACTCTTTTCAAGCTACAGAAAGGACACTCATTCCAGTATTGGCCCGAAATCAAAGACACAGGGACCTTGATGTTGTGGGGGTGGACTGAGATTCCCGAAACTATTTCCCTAGATCTTAGTGGTCGTTTTACAATTCTGATAAGGAATCAATACAGAGGAACACAGAATTAAGCTGTATTTTTCCTTGTAGTTCTTAACTGAACACTCATGCAGAACTTGCTCTATTCCAGCCAGCATGATGCTATATGATCCATCTCCCTGACCTTTGAGAGTGTTTTTCCTGTTCAGCACCCACTTTTCTTCTAGTAGCACAGTCTCTCTTTTTACCTTGGAGACAGTTCCTCTTTCACTAAATGGGGCTCTGCCTGCCTCACGCGCCCTGCAAGATTCCCTGTTTCAGAATCGCTATCAATGTCAAGCGAGGGAGGCCTCTGCCTTTCTGAAATCACCAGAGCCAAAGACCTTGCAAATCTGGAGCTGCCAGAGGTCACTGGTGCCCCTCCCCAAAAGAGCCTGCCTGAGAATGAAGTCAATGGAGAGGCAAAGAAGGGCTAAGACTTTGGGAAGGGGAGGTGGGGACAGTGAGAAGGAGAGAGACCATCTCAGGATCCAGTTCCCGACATTTGTATACTAGCAGCTGACGGTGCTTGAAGTCAAGATGGATGAGTTAATAAATTTCTTTTCCCTATTGGGTAGTTTTTCAGTGAGCTTCTGTCACGTGCCATCCAGAAACCCTTGAATAACACACAAGTTTCACTTGATGGTAAGCCCAATGGCGACCATACTTGGATACAGTCACTGTAGAGTTCCAGGCTGTGATAACAGGACTGCAGAGAAATCTGGCAGCCTGCAGCCCCCATCTGTGTGGCCCACCCGGTGCATGCACAGCATGACTGATAAGTGTCTGCCCTGAAGACAGCAGCCAGAACAGTCCTTGGGTGTGTGGTCCTATCAACCCCTTGTCCAAGTTTTTTAGAATTAGTTGGGAGAACTCAGGATGTGCTGTTTGGAGAAAAGAGAACACACTTAGGGGAGTGGCGGAATTTCTTTAAATGTTGGAAGGACTGCCAGAGAATCAGATTTTGCTTTAAGAGATTTTGCCAGAGGATCAGATTTTGCCTTAAGAGAAATAGAACCACCAATGGGTAGAAGCAACAAAGTCAGACTTCAACTCAACGTAATGAGCTGTCCAAAAGAAAATGGGTGTCCGTGGAATGCTGTAAGAACCCATCCCTGAAGTACTGAGATCTACGTGGGCAACCCTGGGATGGCACACAGAGGAATCCCCTGTCCTACAGGCAGCTGGGGGCTCTACTGGTCCCTAAACTCCCTTCCAGTGCTGCAAGTCTAGGATTGCATACCTGAGAATACTGGGGCCTTTTCCAGCTCACGGGAACAAGGACATTGGAGTTGGAGCCTGAAGAAGTGGAGGATGTGCTCCGGGTGACAGCCATGGCCCTGGGTTTCCCATCGCGCCCAGAAGAATTCTGCAGCTCATCATACCGCCTTCCGATGATTGGCGTCTTGAAAAGAGATAATACAAAAGCACACCTTCTTCTATATCATTCATAGTTTTGTGGTATATGGGACCCTCCTCTCAGAAGCAACCAAGAACTACATATTTAATTAAAATCAGATTAGAGTTCAGTGTTGCAAGGAGGCTCATTATCCCAACATGTAGGTATACGTTATGAACCACTTTGCAGCTTCAACACTCTCCTATCCTCTTTAGCAGCAGAAAACAAATCCAACTGCTTATTCTTCAATATGCTTAGGAACCGCTGATAAATGTATAGGAGGCAAACAGTCTACTATCAGATGCTTTAAGATTGAAAACATGTGGACAGGTGCAGTGGCTCACACCTGTAATTTCAGCACTTTGGGCGTCTGAAGGATTGCTTGAGCCCAGGAGTTTAAGACCAGCCTAGGCAACATAGGAAGAAATTGTCTCTATGAGAAAATAAAAAAAATTAGCTGGGTGTGGTGGCATGCACCTATAATCCCAGCTACTCAAGAGGGTGAGGTGGAAGGACTGTCTGAGTCCAGGAGGTTGAAGCTGTGGTGAACCATGATCGTGCCACTGCAGTCCAGCCTGGGTGACAGTGAGACCCTGACTTTAAAAAAAAAAAAAAGAAGACTGCATTTTTCATTTTCTTATAACAAGAGACTAAAATCCTTCCCTTTCCCGGTCTTTTAATCATCAATCTTTAATATGTTCTCAATTACTTAAAAAATATATTTAAATTACTTATATCTTTCCAGTTACTCAAAGGAACGGGGTTGGGGTCAGACACTTGGGCAGCTCTCAAGAAGTTTCACTTCCTGAGAACCCTGGAGATTCGTGGCAGGTCAGGCAGTGCCTTTCAAACTTGAACCCAAAGCAGGTCTCCTCTGCAGACCCCAGTTTGTAGGCCTGCCCTCAGCAGGGGCAGAAATCAACTGGTAATTCTATACCTGGCTCCCAAGACCATCACTCTCAAGTATTTTTGGGTCCCTGAGGCATGTTGCTAACTGACTGCATGTTTTTTGTAAATCTTTGGAACAGGATAAGCTCAAGTCTCAGAGTAAAAATAACTTTCCCCCTAGCGACGTAAAAGAGAATATTAAAATGGACAGGGACCGAACTCATACCTTCATATCATTTGCATACTAAATACAGATGCAGGTGTCACAATGGCAGCAAAATAGTATCTTGTGGTGAAAACTTAAATGATGAAAGGTCAATGAGTACTGCTGTGTCAAAAAAAAGTGATATAACCTTTGTGAGAAAGTTTCATAAAAACAGATCCAGTTTATTTCATAGCGAATGTATTCATCCATTAGCGTTTGGAAATTTATTAACGATCTACTATGTACCAGACACCACACCAGGTCCTGGTTATAAAGATGAACAGAGTGCTGTTTCTGCCTTGGTTGCTCATGGATCACAGGGTAAGAGAGACATACAAGCAAGGTTATTTTATACCTTAGGCTTACATAAGTCAGTCCAGGCCTCCCAATGGTTAGTTCATAAGCCAGCAGGTACCTGTGACCACTTTCTCCCCTTCTTTTCCTCCTGACTCCTTAGTCCCTTTCTCTCCTCTTCTCCTTCCCCCTTCAATGCAAGACTTTACTTTTAATTGTTTAAAATGCCATGTGGGTTGGAGAAGTCACAGCATTCTTGTATTCCTGTACATTCCAGTCCTTTGCTGAACTGCTTGTTGTCCGGGGGAAGGGGTGTGGATGTAAAGAAATGGTGTGACCATTGTCAGATAAAGCATGAGTGAAGGTCACGGTTAAAAATGCTTACGATCACCTCATTTTTAACATCTTTTTTTAAAATCATTTTTTATATAACCGAGGCTAGTTTCTATTTTTAAAAGCTGCCAATTGAGAGCCCCAATGAATATGACACTCAGCGTGTTCTTAAAAAAAGCCAAAACAGAACCTAATTTAGGCTTAGAAGTCATGATTTAAAGTAAATATAAAATAAGTCTTCCTTTTTTCCAGGCAATGACTAGAAATTCATGCTGAAGTTCACAGAAACAGATAACACAGCTAAGTACCTCTGAAATGTCAAAGTGAAAGTCCAGAGTTTTCCCAGGTAATTCCTTAGACGCACTGGTCCAGACTCGATGGATTTCTATCTTTGAGAGGTCACTGTGCTGGTAAGAAGGCAAAACAAGGCTGGCAGATCGAGAAACTACCAGCTTCAGGATGTTCAGGGCTTCCCTCCAGTGAACACTCTGCGGGAAAGAAAACATTCAAGGGTTAAAAACAATTTCATTTTTTAAAGCTAGTGTGTGTCAGAACGATGAGTCAGAAACCAAGGACTGGTCAGGAGATTCTGTGATTAATAAAAGGTAAATGACATAAAAAGGCAACTTATCTATCAAATAAACAACCTTTAGGAAACAAGCAGGTTGAAAAATGGCCAATGTTGTCCACATTCAAATAAATAAGAGCCTAAAATGAAAAGGTGCTATTTTTGCTATGAGGCACTTCCCTAATTTGGAGGAAGAAAAAAAAAAAAAGCCCTGGTGCATTCTCTCCCATTGGCCTTCAATGCACTCTTGTTCAAAATTGCCCCCACCTCCAGTTTCCAGGCTTCTGGGTCTGTCTCTAGTTCGCCAGCGCTTCCTGCTCCATAGCTTCCCGGACATCTCGAGCTCCGCCCTCAGCCCTCTTTCCTTCTCATTTCTTGTGTTCCTCCTCACCTAGCCCAGGAATCTGGAAGCCCTTCTCAGCCCTTCTGATTCCCTCCCTCCTGGTAATTTGTTCCCTCCTCGCCATTCCTGCTGGCACTGGCTCAGCTAAATCCTCTCTGGCCCCGACACCACGATTTCCTGGCCTCTTAACTGATCTCCCTGCTTGCAGCCTCTGCTTAAGTCCATCAGATCCAGCTGAAGTGATCTTTCTAGAACTCTGCAGACCCAGCCACTTCCCTGTCTGAACTCCTCCAAGGGCTCCCTCTGGTGGAAAGGGTGGCGTCCATACTCTGGACACAGCCTTCAGGGGTCATCGCCCCTGGGATACCACTGGAGTTTCCCCAAACCAGGCAAGGTCTGTCCCTTTACTCAACCATGCTATCCCCTCGTCCTAGAATGCCTTTCCTCTCTGTATTGGCATATAATGCCTACTCTTCATTTATGGCTCTTTGTTTTGTAATCTTTGTTTCTCTGACAACCTCCAGGCACACAAGGGGCTTCTCCCAGAAAAATATTAGAAACGCAGATAAACCAACTTGATGAAAGTGGTTATTATTTTTTGCCTAGACCTTGTGGTCAAAGCACATGACATAAAACATTTTTTTTTTCCCTGTAAAATTCTGCACAATCTCAGCTTGGGCAATACAGCAAGATCTCATCTCTACAAAAAATAAAAACATTAGTTGGGCATGGTAGCATGCACCTGTGAGTCCCAACTACTCCAGAGGCAGAGGTGGAAGGCTTGCCTGAGCCCAGGAGGTTGAGGCTGTGGTAAGCCATGATTGTGCTACTGCACTCCAGAGTAGGCAGCAGAGTGAGACCCTGAGTCAAAAAAAAAGGAATTCTATACAAGAGAGGCTGTGGTTTCAATAAATAAGTCACTATTCAAGGTTAGATATGAAGTCCCAAAGATAGCCCCCAGGCCTAAGCGAAATAGGCAGCCCGACTAAACAATGAAATGGGACACAGGCTAGTAGAAAGATGTAAAGTGACCTCCAACCAATGCTTTTATTTCATTTTTTTTGTAGAGATGAGATCTTACTGTGTTGCTTAGGTTGAGATTGTACAGAATTTAACAGGGGAAAAAAATGTGTTTTATGACATGCGTTTCCTATGAGTGAAGTGAGAAACTGTTACCAACTGCCTACCCCATGTGGCACCAGTATTATTGGAGCAATGTCACTTGAAAAATGAAAAAGAAATGATGCTTAGAAATAACTTTTAACATTAAATAATTTCTCTAAGTAATGTGATTGGTGGAGAAAGAAAGGAATGCCTAAAATTTATACTCTATGGCTTTGTCAATGAGTTTACTGAGTACACCACAGAAAAGAAATAAAACGTGGAAAAAAAGATATCTGTGCTCTTGAACTTGGCATTCTCCATGTACCCCACAAGGTGGCCTGGCACCGCTCTCATGGCCTGGGCCTCCTGGCTTCGGGATGTGGTCAAGTGTTTCACGTTCACTCCCAGGCTCTAGAAACTGGTTCTGGTGTCTGCTCTTTTGATGTTTATTTTGATTTTCATTTCTTTCTTTATTTTTTTTCTGGTAGTCTCAGAGTATGGCTTTAAAGAATAAGCTGCAGGTGTTTATTGATGTCCACCAAGTGTCCTGCTGGGAAGGCTGCCTGGTACAATGAGACACTGGCTCCGGGGCCAGGAGGAACTAGAGTCAAATTCCAACTCCACCCTTTACCGAGATCTTGGGGCCGGTCTCTCAGGGTTAAAATAATGTACTGAAGACTGCTTATTATGGAAATGGTAAAACATACACAGAAACAGAGAGACTCATCTAATGAAACTCTTTGTACTCTTCATAACTATTCATAATTTGTCATCTTGTTTTATTTACCACCCCCCAAACAAACATTTGTTATTTACTTCTTAGAGGATTTTCAAGTACATTTACATAAATTTCTAGGACGAGCATGATGGCTCACACCTGTAATCCCAGCACTTTGGGAGGTGGATGTGAGAGGACTGCCTGAGCCCATGGGTTCGAGACCAGCCCCTGGGCAACTTGGTGAGACCTCGTCTCTACAATTAATCAAAAAATTAGCCAGATCTGGTGGCGCGTGCATATAGTTCTAGCTACTTGGAAGGCTGAGGTGGAAGGATCATTTGAGTCCAGCAGGTCGAGGCTGTGGTGGCCATGAGCATGCCACTGTACTCCAGCCTGGGCAACAGAGTAAGACTCCAACTAAAAAAATAAAAAAATTCTAATCCTTAAGTCTTTCAACTCCAAAGTAACAATTTTAACTTCTCACAACCCTGCACATGTGGAAACACCAAGCCTAGAACCAGGAACACATGCAGTCTTTACTCTTCCAGCCAGGTGTGTGCTTTTCGTAGCCAGCCTATAGCCCCATGAGGCACAGGAATGTGGCAGGGTCTTGTGCTATTGCTCTCTTCAGAATACCACTCAGGCAGCGGTCACTGGTCACTCTTCACTGCCCTGGCTGGGTCATGTATTAGGTGGATGCATAAGTTCACAGCATTTGTGCACTGGGGAGTTTGTCTATCGTTTGTCATCTGGAGTGACAATGTTGTGCTTGTGGATATGTCTTGCATTTTGCAGATTTGAAGAAAGTCAGTGCTATTTGTGGGCTAAAGAAGACGAAGTGTCAAGAGGAAAAAAACTGAACTCTTCTGACACGTTCCTCTGAGTTTAACAGAGAAGTTAAGGCAGTGTGGGTGGCTGGAAACACTTGTGCCATGTCTGGGAGAATGCCATCCGGGAAAGCACGGCAAGAAAACGGCTTTATTGTTTCAAGGAGGGCCACTTTGACTGGAGAGGTTTTCCACATTCAGGAAGGCCATCGGGTCTCAACGAAGACTGTTTAAATCTTATTTAAACGCCGTGATGATAAACGTCAGTCAACCCAAGAACTGGCAAACGTGATGAACTGTGACCAGTTAACCACCGTGCAACATTTGCATTCCACGAACAAGTGAAAAACACTACAGACTTATGGATGAGCTCGTGTCCTAGCACCCAGAGAGCCCTGTAAGCCAAGCTACAGGCAACACCCCAGTCTTTCTGGAATGACCCTCTGGTTGCTCAATACAGGTTTCCAAATACTCACCTGCACGTATTTTTCAATGGTCTTCAGAACTTCCATGTTAAACTGTTTGACAGGAACACCGGAAAGGTCCATGTAGCTGAGTAAACTGTAGATCACCTGCAGTAAAGGTTGCTGCACGCTAGGGAGACCCTTCTCCAGCAGCTGTGAGGATAAAGCGCAGTCAGGTCAGTCCTAAGCCCAATTTCCACATGGACGCGCCCATGTTTTCCAATACCTTTATAATTTTTTTCCCTTTTTTTTTGAGTTGGGGTTCTCACTCTGCCACCCAGGCTGGAGTATAGTGGCCCGATCACAGCTCACTGCAGTCTTGACCTTCTGGGTTCAGGTGATTCTCTTGCCTCAGCCTCCCAAGTAGCTGCACTACAGGCACACACCCCCACACCTGGCTAATTTTTAAAAAAATTATGTGGAGATGAGGTCTCACTATGTTGCCTAAACTGGTCTTGAACTCCTAGGCTCAAATAATCCTCTTTCCTCAGCCTCCCAAAGTGTTAGGGTGACAGGCATGAGCCAGCACCTGGCTGGTTTTATTTCCTTAGCAGGGAAAATGAGAGCCTAGTTAAGAAGAAGTGAAGACATTATCTAAATATATTTATGTATATGAATGCATAAATATAAAATTCACACGATGACATATAAAAAATGAACTTCAAAAGAAAACCATCAAAATGCCAATTATCAAAAATTATGAATTCAAACAAAAGATACAATCTGTCAGTTATCAAATTGGTAAAGATTAGAAATTGGCAATATTCAGTATCGACGGGAAGATAAAGAAATGGGTATTCTTACACATCAGTGGAAATATAAGTTGAGTAACTTGGCAAATGAGATCAAGAGCACTAAAGAGGTCTAGATCTTTTGAAATAGTTACACTTTTGGGAATGTTTCCCAAGCCAGAGGTAGATACTAAGATTTATGTATGAGATTTCACCATGGCATTATTTATTTATTTATTTATTTATTTTTTGAGTTGGAGTCTCACTCCCGGCCACCACAGCCTCGACCTGCTGGGCTCTGGCGATCCTTCTGCCTCAGCCTTCCATGTAGCTGGAATTACAGGCATGCACTACCACGTCCGGCTGATTTTTTTTTTATTTATTGTAGAGATGAGGTCTTGCTGCCCAGGCGGGTCTCGAACCCGCGGGCTCAGGCAATCCACTCACCTCAGCCTCCCAAAGGCGCGGGATTACAGGCTGAACCACTGAGCCCGGCTGTCATTATTTATAATGGTAAAAAAAAAAAAAATCATATATAAAACAAGAAAGCTCTGTAAGCAATTTAAATATGGAACAGTAGGGAAATGGATATATCAGTTAACAGTAAATTGTATGATTCCATTAACTCCATGAAATAATGGAATCCTATTTTAAAGACAGTAAAGGGTATCAGATAATATTAAGTGGGAAATGAAGGATATACACTTGTCTATATAATAGAGTATGCCAATATTGATGTGAATTTGTGTGCTATATAGAAATGAGATTGGAGGTTGGGTATGGTGAGTCATGTACATAATTCCAGTACTTTGGAAAACTGAGGCAGGAGGATCGCCTGAGCCCAGGAGTTTGAGACCAGCCTGGGCAACTCAGCAAGAACTCATCTCTGCAAAAAAAAATTTAAAAAGGTAGCTGGGTGTAATGGCACATGCCTGTAGTCCCAGTTACTTGGGAGATTGATATAGGAGGACTGCTTGAACCCAGGAGTTGGGTGCTGTGGTGAAAGGTGATTGTGCCACTGCACTCAAACCTGAGCAACAGTGAGACCCTGACTCAAAAAATAATAACAATAAAGTTAAAAATAAAATCCCATTTCCAGTTTTGAAGCTTTGATGGCTTGTAGTCCAAACAGATGTTGGCTCTTGGCTCCCTCACACTTTACACCTTCTTTTCAAACAGGCATCGTCTGCCTTTGTAAGTAGGGCATACTAGTTCTCCCAGGACTTCCCATGCACTAAGGCATGTGTGCATGTGTGTGTTTGTGTGTGCTTAGAAACTCCTGCCGGGTCAGGTGTGACCAGGTGATTATTAAAAGCAGCAGAGTGGCACCCATGAGAGACTCCTTAAAATGCCACGGGTGTGAATGTGGAAGGAGTAAATTAATTCTGGACTGCAGGTAGTCTGAAAACAGTCCACATACTGCTGATCTGTATGGCAAGTCGAAATCCTGTAGGATCAACTATAAATGTTGATGGATGGGCCATCAACCCTCTGCTAGGTAGATGTCTGTGGATCCTTTGAGAAATGGCTGACTTTTTTTTTTTTTAAATCGATGGCTCTTGGATTGGTGACAACTGAAAGAAAAACTAGGATGGATTGTCCTCATCTCTTCTGAAAGTTCTTAGCAATAGGTAGGAACAAATCCTGGATGGAAAAGTGACACTGAAAATGCTGAAACATGGTAGCTCTTACCAACATCTGCTTCATAGATTTCAGATTTTCTTAAACTTGTTGGGGATCGAAGATGTTGAGGGAAATGCATTTCTTACTTGCCCAATATATTATATATTCCTGACACTAATGTATGCAGAAGCAGGGTTGGGGTTTTGTCATGTTGTGCTACAAACCATTTGTATGATGAAAAAAATACCATTCCAGTTTTAAAAAGCAACATAAGGCCAGACATGGTGGCCCACATCTGTAATCCTAGCACTTTAGGAGGCTGAGACAGGGGGAATTGATTGAGCCCAGGAGTGTAAGACCACCCCCGGCAATATAGTGAGACCTCGTCTCCAAACCCCTCCCACCCAAATTAGCCAGGCTTGGTGGTATGCTCCTATAGCCCCAGCTACTCAGGAGGCTGAGGTGGAATGATCGCCTGTGGCCCAGGAGGTCAAGGCTGTGGTGGTCATAATTGTGCCATGACCCTCCAGCCTCCTGACACTACCCTTCTGTGCCCAGCAGATTGAAGCTGTGGTAGCCGTGATTGTGCCACTGAACTCCAGCCTGGGTGACAGAGTGAGACTCCAGCCCTAAAAATAAAACAAAACATAAAAGGTGAAGACAAAAAATATATTTCAAAATGTATGCTTTGTTAATGAGTTCAGGGCAAATAGCCATTAAACATATCAAGCCACCCAGTAACTCCTTAAATAGAGTTTAAATACTCAGTAATTAGGATAAAATCTAATCTCTGCCATGTGCTGTCAGGTGTCAATGTAGTAGACAGGAGTTTAAGTTTTGGAGGCAGTTATTTCGAGGTTCAGAGGCTTGCTCTGCTGCCTTGAACTTGTGGTAAATTACTTAACCTGGCTGTGCCTCAGACTTTTTTTTTTTTTTTGAGACAGGGTATCTTACTCTGTCACCCCATCTAGAGTGAAGTGCAAAGGCACAATCATGGCTCACTGAAGCCTCAAACTCCTGGGCTCAAGTGATCCCCCTGCCTCAGCTTCCTGAGTTTCTGGGACTATGGGGCACAAGCCACTATGCCCAGCTGATTTTTAAATTTTTTGTAGAGTTAGGGTCTTGCTATATTGCCCAGGCTGTTCTCAAACTCCTGGCCTCAAGCGATCCTCCCACTCTGGCCTCCCAAAATGCTGGATTTATAGGTGTGAGCCACTGTGCCTGGCCAGATTCTTTATTATAGTAATATCTATCTACATCACTGGGTTGTGAGTATTTATAATAATTCTATTAGCATCTATGATAATATATAACAGGTATTGAATCAGTGGAAGTTAAGAATATGTTATCAATTCTTTGTAAATATTTTATCCACAGAGGCTATAAGAGCGTTTATCCTTAACTTCAAAGCTTACCTCTGCCAGGTAGGTCACCATGTTCAAGGTAATGTCAGCATACGCTTCATGAAGATATCGACAGACTACATTGACCCACGTGGCGCAGTCCCTGGTATAGCTGTGCGTTTTATAAAGAGTCATGACGTGTGCAAGGTTTGAAAGTTTGGGATTCTTCTCTTCCAAACAAACCTTTTAAATTAAGAAAACCAATTAGGGATCAAATAACCTCACGAACAGGAATACATGCTATCCACTGTGCTATAAGTTCTGGCAGTGTGGAAAGTAGATTGATACACTTTTTGGTGGCTAAGGAATGGTTAGGTAATATGATTTTCGCAAATTCTTTCTACCTGTTTTCTCAATAATGAAAGCAAATAGAACAACTGGCATCAGCCACCCACAGATGTAGGTTACTGGCGATATCAGTTATTATTCCCAGTTTTTGAGAACATTGTTGCCTTCTCTGAGCCAAGTCGCTTCTGTCTGACATCGGGCCTTTCCGGAGGCCTCGATGGGTCTGCTGGAGTGTGAGACCATAACTCATACCTGAGCAATCCTTTCGGCTACATCCTTACAGAACTGATTGGGATTTTCAAAGTGCTGAATCAGCTGGGGCAGCAGACACAAGATGTTCAGTGGAAACCCTGTAGTAGGAAGATACAAGACAGCTGAATACAGTGTGTTTTAACCACGAACAGTGGGAAGGCACGCTAAGGATTTTATTCCGAAGTGATGCAAAAGCAGTCTTATGAAGCAGCTTGAACATGATCTAACACAAAATTCATAAAAAATGTACAATCCCAATGGTACTGAGCTGAAGTACTAGTCTGACTTTTTTTGTGCAGTGGCATGCTCACGGCCACCCCAGCATCAATCTGCTGGGCTCCGGCGATCCTTCCACCTCAGCCTTCCAAGTAGCCGGAATTACAGGTGTGCACTACCACACCGGTTAATTTTTGATTTACTGTAGAGACAAAGTCTTGCCAAGTTGCCCAGGTTGGTCTCGAACCCACGGGTTCAGGCAATCCTCTCGTTTCAGCCTCCCAAAGTGCTGGGATTACAGGCTGAGCCACCGAGCCTGGCCTACTCTTGACATTTTAATCAAAAGCCATATTTTAAGAAAAACTGAGGAGAGAGGACATAGACAAACCAATTTAAGTCTTAATCACATAACTGAAGACTCTTTAAAGCGATGAGAAATGGCTTAGTACCTCTGTGTTGAGCCCTAGCTTCCCGAAATGAATTCTGGGCCACATGCCATGGCATTAAAAATCTGGCTTGCTGCTGGGCACAATGGCTCACACCTATAATCCTAGCACTTTAGGAGGCCGAAGTGGGGGGACTGCTTGAGGCCAAGAGTTCAAGACTAGCCTGGGCAACATAGTGAGACCTTGTCTCTACAAAAATAAAAAAATTAGCCAGGTATGGTGGCACGCACCTATAGTCCCAATTATTTGGGAGGATGAGCAGAAGAATCACCTGAGCCTGGGAGGTCAAAGCTGCAATAAGCCATGATCATGCCACTGCCCTCCAGAGTGAGACCTCAACCTAAAAAAAAAAAAAAAATCTGGTTTGTTGATTTGCTTACTTCAAAACAATACGGCCCAAGATGATTTTCGAGAGGAATGGAAAAGTAAAGAAAAAGATTTGGGAGTTAAGAAAAAAAAGAACCCAAACTTCACCTGCATGCAGCCTATTTGTGTAGTCGATCCTTATTTGTACCCCATATCTCTAAAATAAAATAGAATTTAAAACAAATTATGTTTATCATAAAATTCTAAATATTAAAAATTACTTTAGGCCGGGCGTGGTGGTTCATGCCTATAATCCCAGCACTTTGGGAGGCTGAGGTGAGAGGACTGCCTGAGCCCACGGGTTTGAGACCAGCCTGGGGAACTTGGTGAGAACTCATCTCTACAAAATAAAAAAATTAGCCAGGTGTGGTGGCATGTGCCTGTAGCTCCAGCTACTTGGAAGACTGAGGCTGGAAGGATCACCTGAGTCCAGCGGGTCGAGGCTACGGTGGCCGTGAGTGTGCCACTGCACTACAGCCTGGGCGATAGAGTGAGACTTCAACTCAAAAAAAAAAAGAAAAAAATTTACTTTAAACATTTATAAAAAAAAAAAAGGAAAAAAAATGTCTGTACAAGAGCAAAAATTACAGTACCTGCAAAATGATCTGAAAACCACAAGGAAATCACTAACATCTTAGATGTATTTTCTGCCCTTTTTTATTTTAAAATGTTGACTTTAAAATATCTTCTGTAATAAAGACAAACCAAGACTTACACAGAATTTTTTTTTGAGTTGGAGTCTCACTCTGTTGCCCAGACTGGAGTGCAGTGGCTGCTCCCAGCCGCCGCAGCCTCGACCTGCTGGGCTCTGTTGATCCTTCCGCCTCAGCCTTCTGAGTAGCCGGAATTATAGGCGTGCACTACCACGCCCGGCTGATTTTTTGATTTATTGTAGAGATGAGGTCTCGCTGCCCAGGCGGGTCTCGAACCCACAGGCTCAGGCAATCCACTTACCTCAGCCTCCCAAAGGCGCGGGATTACAGGCTGAGCCACCGAGCCCGGCTACACAGAATTTTAAAAGAAAAAACAAATGATTCCCAAGGAGCCATTTGAGTTGGGGGTCTCACTCCCTCACCTAGGCTGGAGTGCAGTGGCATGATCGCAGCTCACCGTAGCCTCAACCTCCTAGACTCAGGCAATCCTCCTGCTTCAGCCTCCTGAGGAGCTGGGACTGCCGGGGTGTGCCACTACATCCGGCTAATTATTATTATTATTATTTTTTGAGTTGGAGTCTCACTCCGTCACCCAGGCTGGAGTGCAGTGGAACTCTCACGGCCACCCCAGCATCGACCTGCTAGGCTCCAGCCTTCCAAGTAGCTGGAACTACAGGTGCACACTACCAAGCAGCTAATTTTTTATTTATTGTAGAGATGAGGCCTCGCCATGTTGCCGGGGCTGGTCTTGAACCCGTGGGCTCAGGTAATCCATTTGCCTTGGCCTCCCAAAGTGCTGGGATGACAAGCTGAGCTACCGAGCCCGGCCCCAGCTAATTTATTTTTTATTTTTTGTTGAGATGAAGCCTTGCTTTGTTGCCCAGGCCTCCCAAAAGTTTTGGGATTATGTTTCAGCTTCCCAAAGTGCTGGGATTACAGGTGTGAGCCACCACACCCTGCCATGGAGCCATTTCTAAGCCGAGTTGTTAAAAGCAGTAAGTCCATATTATCTTGCAACCCCATTGATGAATACAACCACCACCAGGATTCTAAGAGAGGAAACAGTGTTGGCTTTACCGATAGCTTGCGATGCATCCACCATGGATATTTTGGACACTGGCGTCAGCAAACTGAAAAGCTGGAGGGTGAGGTCTGTGGTGGTAAGGGACGTGAATCCTTTCAGCAGCAGCTGCTGCAGTCCAGAGAAGTCGGCCCACTTGAGTTGTGCCTGGAGTTTCTCAAGCTTTTCTCGGTTCTCAGCTTTATCAAGTGGCATGTGCGCCAGTAGTCTACTCAACAGCCGTAGGGCCATGAGGTATTCAAACTCAAAATCAGACTCCATCAGGGCCACTGTGACCCAGAAGATGGTGGCCAGCAGGTTGGTGGGATGGTTTATATGGGATGGGTCCGTGAGACTGTCTTTCAAGGAAGACGAGCTTCTGGTTTTTGAGGAGAGGCCTTGTTGGGTACAAGCCTGAATCCTGTCCAGTGTGGCACTTCGAGGTGGGTCAGAGGATCGGTCTACAACACCAAACTTCTTGGGCACAGAGAAACTTCTTTGATGCCGGCTCCGTTCTGCAGTCGTGGTATTGCCACTGGCAGTTCCAGGGTTCACGTTTAGTTGTCCAGTGCTTTTCCTGCTTGCTGTTAGTTTAGTGCTGGAGCTTAAATCAGGGGATGAAGAGCTGGGTATAAAAATACATAAGTTTAATAGAATGTCAATTTGCTTCTGTGAAAAGTCAATCCTTTTAAGTTCACTGAGAAACACTAACAGATGAAAATCATTCTTTGGAAATATCACTTCCGGGTCATTTCTTTTTCCTTATCTTTAGACTCAAAGCTATGAAAAAACAAAACAAGAACTACCCTCACCAACAAGGCAAAAATAAAATCCAATTCTGACTGCCACTTATTGAAAGTGTGAAGAAATCAATAACTGGTCATAACGTTTACTTATCTTTCATTTATTTTTTGTTTGAATTTGAGTTGGAGTAATTATGAGATAAAATGTACCTGATAGGCATAAACTTTAATATGCTGTTAACTTCCTAATAAGGAAAACAAATAGAAATTATGCTACCTAGAAAGTATGTTCATGTCAAATAAAAGTTTTTTGCACTGATAAAAATTTATGAAAGGCCAGGTTCAGTGACTCATGTCTATAATTCCAGCATTCTGGGAGGTTGAGGCAGGAGGATAGCTTGAACCCAGGAGTTTGAGGCCAGCCTAGACAAAATAGTGAGAACAAAACAAAACAAAAAACCTGACCAGGTGTGGTGGCACTTGCCTATAGTCCCAGCTACTTGGGAGACTGAGGCAGGAGGATCACCTGAGCCCAGAAGGTCAAGGCTGTGGTGAGTTGTGATAGTGCAACTGCCCTCTAACTTGGGTGACAGAGTGAAACCTGACTTGAAAAAAAATTATGAAAATGATTTGAGTCTATGCTGAAAGGACAAAGCTTTTTCTAACATTCTCACTAGATTTTTTACTGATTTAGGTTCTTATAGATAAATATGTGTGATGCTAATAATCACTCCAAAATTAGGTATCCATAAAAAACGCTCAATAGGGGAGGGAGGGGAATACCTCATCAACAAGGGTACCTGCATGATCAATGTTTATATACCTAACCCTGAATTGTACCCCACATCTTTATAATAAACAACAACAACAACAACAAAAAACGCTCAACTTAAAAATGAAACAAGGCCAAATGGGACACAGGATAGTATTACTGATTTACTTTCAAGCAAGATGAACTTGTCTATACAAACAGAATACGGAATTGTGAATGATTTGAAATGGGTTAGTAAACTTTGGCAGGAATAAAAAAAAAAATTAAAAGTAAAAACCACACCAAGGCAGGAATTTCTTCAAGTAAAATGAACATAAGTGCCCAACTGTCCTTATAGCAGTGGTTTACATGAGCTTTGTATATATTTGAGAATGGTATTTAGTTTTAGTTTCTGTTTACTAACATAATAAATAGGGTAATTGTTACATAAAATTGGAAAAAGTACTCAAGGATACAAAAAAGAAAACTTTAAAAATCATTACTATTTGATGTCAACAGCCCCATTACAAAGAGGACAAGAGATATGAATAGACACTTTTCAAAGGAAGACATACGATCAGCCAACAGATACATGAAAAAATGCTCAGCCATGCTACTCATCAAAGAAATGCAAATTAAAACCACACTGAGATACCACCTAACTCCAGTCAGGATGGCCATGATCCATAACTCAAAAAACAACAGATGCTAGAGAGGATGCGGGGGAAAAGGGAACACTTCTACACTGTTGGTGGCAATGTAAACTAATACAACCAATGTGAAGAACTAGTGATTCCTAAAGGATCTAAAAACCGACCCTCCATGTGGGGATTCCATATGACCCCACAGTCCCCCTTCTGGGAATATACCTGGAGGAACTCAAATCACTGTATAAAAAAGATATTTGCATATGCATGTTTATTGCAGCATTATTCACAATAGCAAAAACACAGAACCAACCATGCTGCCCATTGAAAGAGGACTGGATTAAAAAAAAAAGTAGTACATATACACAATCAAATATTACACAGTCATAAAGAAAAACAAAATTATGAACTTCACAGCAACTTAGATGGACTTAGAGTCTAAAATACTGAGTGATCTATTACAGAGACAAAGAACTGAGTACCACATGTTCTCACACATAAGCGGACCTTGAACAATTATCATAATACTATAAGAAAGAGATTGGCAGCAGTGGAAAACTGCTGGGAGGAGGGGCACACCTCATCAACAAGGGTACCTGCATAATGAACATTTGTATACCTAACCCTGAATTGTACCCCGCATCTTTAAAATTAAAAAAAAAAAAAATTGATGTCTTCCTGATATTTAAAAATCATTATATAATGTGTATGTATGCATGTGTGTCCTTTTTTTTTGAGTTGGAATTTCACTGTCACCCAGGTTGGAGTGCAGTGGCCACTGCAGCCTCAACCTGCTAGGCTCAGGCAATCCTTCCACCTCAGACTTCCAAGTAGCTGGAACTACAGGTTCCATGCCCAGCTTATTTTTTGATTTATTGTAGAGATGAGGTCTTACCAAGTTGCCCAGGCTGGTCTCAAACCCCTGAGCTCAGGCAATCTTCTTCCCTCAGCCTCCCAAAGTACTGGAATTATAGGCTTGAGCCACTGCACCCGGCCTTCTTTTTTAACTTAAGAAAATGTCATACATATTTCTTCTAGGTCATATCTATACTTCAAAAACTAGTTGTGTTCTTTGTACTCTGCCCAAAGTCCAGCATGTCCCCAATATTCAGTACAGTATATTTGATTTCAAAATGACATTAAGCTGACTCTTACCGGGATAATACAGTTAAGAGATCACTGTTCTTCAAGCAGTCGGACAAGTTGTCTACAGCAGCTTCCAAGGTAAGGAGTGCTTCCATCACATATCCCTGCAAAACATGCAAAGGTGACATTTGTACTGCTTATAACCCCTACTAACTTCCTGAAGATAACTTGAATGAATGCAAACTTTATGCCAGTAATGTCATTGCTTTGATTTATGAAGCCTAAACACAAATTTTAAGGGCCTCTAAGGAAATTCAGATGGACTAGGAAATAGAAGAAGATCTCAAAGATTTATTTCCCTTGGTCTGAGAGCCCCAACAGATCAATTTCATTTGAAATCCAACAACGAGGGGACAGGCATGACCCTCTGCCTGGGGGAGGGTGGGTATCTGAATAGAGTGGCAGTATCTGAAGGTCAGAGGTGAAGAAGTGAGGTTTAGGAAGAGCTTGTCTCAGGGGTGTTTTAAGCAGTGCATCTGATGGCCAGAAGGAGGCAAAGAAAGCAGGGTCTATAGGTGCGCAGCCTTCCTGAGATGCAGGAACATTTCTGATGGGAAAGATGACCCTGGCTTGAGCCAGAGTCTGCGCTGCCCTTGGCTTTCAACCTGCCCAGCTTCCTGGTCTCTGGGCTCCACCTATGGGGTCTTGCTGTGGCAGCACCTCTCTCTGTTTCCTCTTCAGCTCTTCTCAGTCTACCGAAGGCCAACCTTACAGAGAGGGGTGGTGTTTGACACAGATGAAATGGAGATCCCTGCTCCGGGTGGAGAGACCATCTAACTGCATCCTACAATGGTGGCAAAAACCCAAAACAATCCAAAATAACCCCCTGCCCACTCGCCAAATAAAACCAACCCCAAAGCCAACAAAGAAGGAGTCACCGAAGAATTTCCAGTTGTTGGCTTTGGATTTTATAAGAGAGATAATAGATGTTGAATTTCTAGCACCATTCTCCTTAGAGTGGTATTTTTAAATACAAAAGTCAACCTCTAAAAATGTTTTTATAAATTGTACATGTCCAAGTGGCTGGAATGGCTGATGAGAGAAAGATGGATCCAAGACAGTTAACTCCTAATCAGTGACATTAGAAAGCTCATCCTGGCTCAGTGATCTTCCCTTCCATACCTGAACCTCATCTCCGTGTTCTCCGATCACCTCTACCAATCTTGACAGAAGGTCAGACAAGGCGTGTGCTGACAGAGGTTGCTTGAGGGCCCGGAATATCTGGAAGGATCGACCGGCATAATGCCTTGATGAACTAGCAAGGGCTGTCTGCAATGCAACTTCACTCAAGTGGTGCTCCAGATGGAATCCTAGGCCAAGGAGAGGCAGAGCCTAGGTCAGTCTCTATTCTGCACGGTGTTCAAAGTCACCCGTCAGTGTAAAACAGGCTAACTGCATAGAGCTATCTTGTACTTATTTATAAATCAACTATGAAAAACTTTTTTTTTTTTAAGAGATGGGAGCTCGCCTTGTTGCCCAGGCTGGTCTTGAACTTCTGGTCTCAAGGGATCCTCCTACCTCAGCCTCTCAAGTAGCTGAGATTGAGGTGCATCCCACAGCATCCAACTCATTTTAAAATAAAAACAAATTCTGAATAAATATTAAGGAGGTGTAATGTAGGAGAAAGAGGCAGAAGTTTTGGAACAAGATGGCCTTGACTTTGAATTAGAAGCTTTGCAACTCTCTGAAAGAAACTTGTTCTCTATGAGTCTGTTTCCTTGCCTTTAACCTATGTATAATAGCATGTAGAGTTGGTGTGACTGTCAAATTACCTACAAAGTGTACAGTGCTTGTACATGACATGTACTCACAAATGTGTTATTTTTATTCCGCTATTTTTATTCCTCTTTTTTAAAAATCATATTCTCACTCTGTTACCCAGGCTGGAGTGCAGTGGCATAATCTATAGCTCACCCACAGCCTTGAATTCCTGATCTCAGGTAATATTTAGCCTCCAGAATAGCTGGGATGGGACTATAGGCACATGCCACAATGCCAGCTATTTTTTTTGTAGAGACGAGGTCTCACTATGTTGCTCAGACTAGTCTTGAACTCCTGGGTTCAAGCAATCATCTCGCCTCAACCTCCCAAAGTGCTGGGCTTTTACAGGCATGAACCACCACACCCGTCCCCCTGCTATTTTTCTTTATTATTCTTCTGTACCACTTCTTTTTTTTTTTTTTTGCATAGAATACTTTCACTAGTTTTTTCATAAGACAGTTTGCTAGAAACAAATTTTCAGAGTAGAGGAAAGCTGTTAGTGGATCGAGTCAACTCTAAACACAACTAAGGCCTGTGCCAAAGTCTTTGCTCTATAAATGTGCAGAGATTATAGTATAGACACTGTAAAGAAGGCTGTCATCATTTAAACTTTTGCCTGAATATCTGTTCTTCCAATAGCATGGAGGTTATCTCCGTCATCAGAAAACCACTTGATCAGATGGGAATGACTACATTCTGGGTCATTAAGTCATAACTTGCTATGCCTCTTTGCAGGGAGAAATGCAGACTACAGGAGTCAGAGGATCAATGAAAGCGGGAACAGTGATTTGAGCTGTCTCTATGATGTAAGGCTCAGCAGCACATTTGGTCATCATGTGAAAGTGAACCAGGAGGGATAATTCAGTATCGTTGTTCTTAGCTGCAGCTTGGCTATTTGACCTTAGAGACAGATAGACTATATAAGAAAATGTTCCTGCAGAGAAAATGCAGGGCCTTGGAAAACTGACTTCAGACACATTCAGGGTGATAAATATAGAATTCGCTTATGAATGAATCATGTTTCAAAAAGTTTTTTCATGTCTTTATTTTGTTTAACAAAACCCATTTACAGCCGGGCTTGGTGGTTCATGCCTGTAATCCCAGCACCTTGGGAGGCTGAGACGAGAGGACTGCCTGAGTCCGGGGGTTCGAGACCTGCCACAGCAACATGGCGAGACCTCATCTCTACAATAAATTAAAAAAATTAGCTGGGTATGGTGGCACACACCTCTAATTCCAGTTACTTGGAAGGCTGAAGCAGAAGATTGCCCGAGCCCAGCAGGTCGAGGCTGCGGTGGCCGTGAGTGTGCCACTGCACTCCAGCCTGGGCTACAGAATGAGACTCTGACTCAAAAAAAGAAACTAACCAACCAAACAAAAAATCCCATTTACTACTCAACCCATTTTATATGTGAGGCCAGGCCCCCTAGCAATGAGCAAAATTCTCATTTAAATAATAATGAACCTGAAGGTTAGGACTGTACTCATAGGACTGCAGACTCTGCCAGGACAATGACAGTCTTCTTTGGGAGTCTATGCTTAGCCTTCCTTGCAGTTAGTGTAACTGTGTGCCTGAGTTCTGGCCAGTGGAATGTGGGAAGAAGCAATGGAGGCGCCATCAAGTCTGGTACATCAACTCATCCTGAGGAATCTTCGCTCTCTTTCTCCACCTGCTTGCTGGAGGTAGAGGGTCCAGCAGAGGTCTCAGCCTGGTTGGTGGCAAAGCCTCAGACTGGAGGGTCCCTGAATCACCTGGCAGAAGAGCACCTGCCAAACACCCACGCTGAATTGTAACATGATCCAGGAATAACCTGTTGTGTTAAGATTGTGAGCTCTGGGGTTTGTTTGTTATAGCAGCTATGTTACCCTGACTGATACAAATATTTCCAGGAACACACTGTGTGTATAGTGAAAACAGGTCCAAAGCAGGATATACCAGGAGATCAGAGTGGGCGAAAACAGATTGATCAAAATGCGAAAAGACTTTCAGCAGCCCCAAGAACCTGCTGAGAATTCAGCCTAAGGCATTCAGACTTTTTCTCATTGTTATTATCTTCATACAATCAAAGGTCTTAGACAAAGAATGATTCATGTGTAAATAGTAAATTCCTTCTTTTGGGCTATGTTCAATTGCTAAGTAGCTTTTGAGGTCTTAATATTTCTTTTTTGAAAGCAGGATTTATTGAGAGGACAGAAAAGCTCCCACAGTGGGAAGGGACCCAAGGGGGATGCCCAAGGTCTTAATATTTCAAACAAATTCCAAAGGGGTATTCCTGGAGTGACTTTCCCATTTCAGTTTATCAGTATTTTTTTTTTTTTTTTTGAGTTGGAGTCTCACTCTGTCACCCAGACTGGAGTGCACTGGCCGCTTCCGGCCACCGCAGCCTCGACCTGCTGGGCTCCCGCGATCCTTCCGCCTCAGTCTTCCAAGTAGCCGGAATTACAGGCATGTGCTACCACGCCCGGCTGATTTTTTGATTTACTGTAGAGATGAGGTCTCACTGCCCAGGCGGGTCTCGAACCCGCGGGCTCAGGCAATCCACTCACCTCAGCCTCCCAAAGGCGCAGGATTGCAGGCTGAGCCACTGTATCAGTATTTTTTTTTTTTAAAAGTATCCTCTGATAATGAAACAAGGTGTGGCTAATCTGAAATGTTTTAAACTGGAAATATGCTAATTATCAGAAAGCTGGAAAAGCTAGCAATCTAGATTTAGTATCACCAGCCTGGTATGAGAAAAGGGTAGAGAGAGTTTCACAACATGTTAAAGAACTGCATTTAAGTCTTACACATCAGCCCAGGCCAAACTGAATCTGAAGGGAATTCAGTCAAGGGCAAATACTTAAGTACTAGGACGCTACTACAACTGAAACAGGACTCACTCACACTGTGTTCACAATATTGAATGGCCATTTGCACAGGAATGATTAGCAAACATTGTTAAAGCTAAAAACATTTTTATACCCACTGCTTTTGTTTCTAAACCAGTTTGATCATTTTAACTGGCCATTTCAACCAGGCTGACCATTTTTCATATTTGGAGACTAAGAACGGTGGAGACAGTTTAATTCTAGTAGGGCAAATGAAAGTAAGTAGAGTAGGGGACATTATTTGACAGAGCATAATGCAAATATACATGTTATTAACTGCCATTCTACTTAGACAGCATCTGAAGTAAGTTTCAAAACTTCCCCATGACTACACTTATGCTGCAGACGTGGCATGTCAGGCCCACGTTACAAGGTGTGTGGTCTTATAGAGAGAGTGAAGTCCACTGTAGAAAAACACTGAAGGAGGAACTGGGGCAAACGGAACAAAGTACCTGATTTGGAATCTTTAAATACAGATACAACGTGACGTAGAAAGTTAGTGAGCTGTTCAGCACTCTTAGAGTTTTGATTTTTTGGTGTGATGTCTTCGTGGCACCAAAGTGGACCGAATGCCCTTAAACAAAACACACAACATGTCAACAATATAACTGTCCTTTTGCATTTTTAAAACTAAACATGCAATTCTGACTCCATAGGTACCATATATTTTTTTAAAATTTTACTAGTTAATTTGGGGGTACTTTTCATTCTTATAAAACTTATCGGCATACTCAAAACACATCTAGTTAGTATATAAAGGCTACTTTTTTGTGTTTTAAAATAAACTTGTTTACAAGATTAAAATCTCCCAATTCACTAGAATGGTGCTTTGGCATATCATGGGTGCTACAAGTCTGTTAAATAGAATGATATAAAATGTGAAATAAAACATAGATTTAGACATGGACTCAATGTTCACATTGAGCTAGCATCTGCACATACTAGCATTTGCAGAGATAAGGCTTTTATCAGGATCACATCATTAAGTTGCAAATAACTGTAGAACCAAACTGAAGACAGGGTCTCTGTCATCTACTTGGTTTTCAACAGTAAGAATGGGATGGAGTCAGGTGAGAGAATCTCAGAGAACAGTCCTTCCCAGCACGTGGGACTTACAGCTGGCTAGTGGTGACAATGTCTTTCCTCTCCACAAACCATTTAGGTTTCCCAAGTACCCATGTGTGCACACACCCCTCATATAAGCACCATCGGTCCCCTTCCTAAGCTTCTTGCACATCAAATCCCCTATCAAGCTGAAAGCCACACAAAATAACTCAAATCCTTCACTGTGGAAATAACCTACTCTTTTTGCACTGTTTGCATTAACGGATGCATTAGCACCATGAAAAAAAATCACATGAGATATTAGATAGCATGGAGACAGACTAGATTTGCAGGCCTTAACTCATGCTCAAGGAAAGCATGCCAGGTAAACATACCTTTATAACAAATACCAGATTTCAGGATGTCAGAAATTCTGAAGCCTTACATGGTTAATTAAAAGAAAGAGAAGTCTGCAATAAACAGGATCACTTGCAGTTTTTCTTGATTGTGATTTATTATTGGTTTGATCCTGTTCCTATCATGTGTCCTTTTGTTTCTGGGTTCTGACTGCCATTTACAAATGATTCTGGACCAGATGAGCAGACAATAGTTCCTTTGGCGACTGCTACTGGGTCGACTAACATCCTTTGTTTCCGGAGTGATGTTCTTTGCTAAGTCTCAGAATGACCCACCCTGGCAGCTCTAATAGATGACTAAAGTCAAGCTCACTGTAGGGCACGGCTGTCTCCTGCCTCCACCTGCTGTGTCATCATTATCCATGAAATCTCCCTGCCCATCAACTGCCACATCAGGTGGGATTTTAGATCACTTCTACCCATAGCTGCCTTTTGCGCAGACTCCCGCAGATGCAATTTCAAAGAGAAACAGGACTTTGTGAGGACTCCAGGACCACCTTTCCATCTGTGTGGTTTGAAGTGTGGGTAACTTTCCAAAAACTGGCCTGAAAACTGCAATGTGACTCCTAGACCCCTCTTTACCTGGTCGTCAGAAACTCAATGAGCTTGTTCGCCTTCTCATCTGTTTCGGCAGCTGCGTCCACGTCTTCGACCTCCTGGGTCATCTGCGGGAGGTTCCCACTGCTGCCTCCCAGACTGATGCTGGAGGAGGTCGAACTGGAGCTCAGCCCCGAGTCCGGCACCGGGGACGACTGGTCCTCTCTCAAGAAGTCGAAGCCACCTGGTGGGAGAAGAAGGTGGAGGAGGATTGTGCTAGGCAGGGTGTCTGTTGGCATGCTTAAGGAGGTCCAGAGGTGAACACGGAGAAATGTGGAGTTATTTAAATTTGAGAGAGAAAACACTTGATGTTGGCTATGGCTATGATTACACAAGCCTGGTGGTTTTTCTATGCTGTGGAATCAGTTGCACTGCTGTGTGAACCAGTGTATATTTAGAAATAGGAGGTGATCTGCTGTTTTGTACTCTGGTGTTTCAGTTGACACTTTCTAGAAAAGAAAGGTGTGTGTGTTTATCTGCATGCACAGGCCAGGCCAAGGACTCATTCAGTTATGACTGGTCAACTACTAGTGGTGTTCTTAGAAAATTATTCCTGGGTGTTAGACCACTTCAACATGTGAAATAATCTCTTTTTGAGGATACCAGGCACTTACTAGCTGGTAAGTAAGTTATACAGAATGTTTTTGAGTAAATGTGCCCAGAAGTTTAATATTATGTGTATATTAATTTATATTAATAAAGTATGTTGCATCATATTCAAATAAATATGGTATAAGCAAATACTATGGGTTTTTTTCCACTACAGAGTCGGTTGACATTCTATATCTCTGGGTGTGGCATGGGTTTGAAAAGGTATACATGTGACCCTTCCTTTTCCCCTGCTTAATAATCATTAAAAGTAACTAATCCTGGTATGTCTGAGAGAGAGATTGAATTAGGAATAAGAAGCCCTGGATTTGAATAGCACTCTCCCACTTAGTGTTACCTCAGGGAGTTTATATGATTCTCTGTACTTCCATTTCCTATTGTAATAAGGTCAGGACAATAATTTCTATCACACAAGTTTTTAGTGTGTATTTGAAAGCAATTGTAGGTGAAACTAGGTGCTCAAAAAATGTTTATAAAAAGGGGACATTTCCCATAGACTTTGTACACTAATCCCCTGTATGCAGTAGAGTCAATCACTTTCACTATCTATCTTTTGTTTTGCCTACAGGTGTGTGTGTGTGTGTGTGTGTGTGTGTGTGTGTGTGTGTGTGTGTGTGTGTGTGTGTTTGTTTTGGCAAATCTCTATTCTAAATCATTTAATTCCACATCAGTGGTACAATGAATATAAAACTGATATATTCATAGATATACAACTTAATAAATATTATACTTTTCCAAGCCTTTTTCTGCATACTTCTTGAAATACATCCTTACAGGACTTAAAACAGCCAGAACCCTTCAGTTTAATGAAGTGTCTATAGTAAAGAGAGTTCTGTGTTTCTGAGAGGCTAGTGATAGGCTCTTTTTCTTTTTTTGAGTTGGAGTCTCACTCTGTCGCCTAGACTGGAGTGCAGTGGCTACTCTCCCAGCCACCGCAGCCTCGACCTGCTGGGCTCCGGCGATCGTTCCGCCTCAGCCTTCCGAGTAGCCAGAATTACAGGCGTGTGCTACCACGCCCAGCTAATTTTTTGATTTATTGTAGAGATGAGGTCTCGCCAAGTTGCCCAGGCTGTTTTCGAACCCATGGATTCAGGCAATCCCCTCACCTCGACCTCCCAAAGTGCTGGGATTACAGGTTTGAGCCACCATGCCTGGCCTTTGTTATTTTCAATTAAGTGCTTAATTCACAGTAAAGAGTTTAAACTGAAGTCAGCGGGTCTTAGGTCTCAGCGTTAATGATGACTTAATATTTGTTTTCTGAAGAAATATTTTACTGTCTATTATAAGTCAAGACTCTGCTGGGACAAGTAATAAATAAAAGTTACATCCTTTTCAAAGTAATGAAGAAAGCACCTAGTGACATCTGAAATGCCATACCATACCCAGTGCCAATATAATGTATAATAATTTTGTAAAAAGGTAGTCCCTGAACTCTGTTAGTTGGTAATAGTCATCATTTATTTAAGATATTTTAAATGTTCTGATTCTAAATGAAGATGGCCAATTAGCTCTTTGGATAAAGTTTTCATGAGCAGTTTGACATGGCAGGGTAATTTCTCTGACTCAGCGAATGCCTTCTGTTTTCCTAAGAACACATTTTTGGTTTCAAAACAGCAGTCGTTTTGAATAGGGTCCCTCTAATGGTGCCCTCTAGAAAAAAGTCAGTCATTCAATAAAGTGCAAATTCCTTCACAGGCTTCGCCGGTACACAAGCAATACATCTGGCACTGTAACCCGCTATTGGGCAGTAGTGATGATCACTGTTTCGTTCATTCTCATCCTTCGGTGTTCTAGACTAATGCCTTGGCCAATGAACATTTAAATTTTCAGAGACCAAATAGAATATATTCCATGGGAGCATCAATCACAATAATAATCAGAAAAAACATATTTTAAAATAGTCAATCATTTAAGAAGGCTTTTGAGGGGCAAGTTACAGCAAGTGACATGGTTTATATTTATTGTGCTGCTGCTTTATCATATGGAAAGTTGGAGGTAATAGGATGAGAGCAGTGAACTCGGGCTCCACTGGTACCTTCAATTCTCTTTTGCACCTGCCTGAGGCAGGCTCTTTTTCTCTTTACCTGTATAGAGATATTCAGGTTGGTAAGCTGGCTGAATGGTTAGAGTCTTAGCTTCACCCATCTCTCGAGTCTGCAGGAGCACAGAAGCAATGGAATGAAAATTGCTGTTGCAAGAGAGGGCGATCAAGAGGTGAAGAAGCAATTTTTTGCTGTGTTCAAAGACTTCAGGCCGGTAATGGTCCAAACCTGGAACAAAACGGTGGAATCTCTGAGTATAAACAAATGTTAAGCTCGTTTAGATTCCAGGGATAGTAAAGATTCCAAGATACCCAGGAGGAACACGTTAAAAGAATGTTTAGTTTTCTTTGTTATTGTTTGTGTTACCAACATAAAGAAGTTGGGCTTAGGAAAAATAAAATGCCTTATTTCCTAAATAAAATGTTCTCATAAAATGCTGATAGATGGACTTTTCCTGACCTCTCTGTAGCATCTGATGAGGTTAGCATTCCTCCTTCTTGAGATGTTCTCTTCCATGGATATCCCTGCTACTGAAGGTTTCTAATTTTATTTCTCTCTCTCTAATGGACCTTCTGAGTCTTCCTGGCTGATTCCTCTTCCCATTTTTACTCTACAAAGCTTAGTGCTTGGCCCACATTGTTCTATATTCTTTATGTTTATGCACTGGCCATGTCTCATGGCTTTAAGCTTATCACCTCAAAAACCCTCCAAAAAGCCCCATTTATTTTGGGTATTGCAAGAGATGTAGCATCAGTGAGACACCACTCTATGTATACTGTAGAAATAGCACAATCTCAAAGAAGGACCGATCAACTGTAATTCTAGAGCAGATGTCACAAAAGGGCAATGAAAAGCGGAGGAAACCAAACATTTCAGAAACGAGACAAACAGGATGTCAATGTCAAAGGAAATCTCTGTGGATTACCTCTGTATGTTTGTAACCCTGTTGGCTAAATTCCTTTTAGATCCAGTCTTACCTAAGAAGACAGCATGAAGTAGCAAAGGTAGATGAAGCGCCCAGTCTTCTCTCACACTATGATCCACCACCATCTCAGTCATAAAAATTACAGCAATATTGCACCTAAGTGATGAAAGGATGAAATTAACGCCACGTCCGAATAGGCTGGAAACACACTGACAGATCATTAAGTCAGAGTTGAATACAACTCTTTTTTTTTTTTTTTTTTTTGAGTCGGAGTCTCACCCTGTCGCCCAGACTGGAGTGCAGTGGCAGCTCCCGGCCACCGCAGCCTCGACCTGCTGGGCTCCGGCAATCCTACCGCCTCAGCCTTCCCAGTAGCTGGAATTACAGGCATGCGCTACCACACCCGGCTGATTTTTTGATTTATTGTAGAGATGAGGTCTCGCTGCCTGGACGGGTCTCGAACCGCGGGCTCAGGCAATCCACCCACCTCAGCCTCCCAAAGGTGCGGGATTACAGGATGAGCCACCGAGCTCGGTTGAATACAACTCTTAAGTCTTTTTGAAGAATTACGTCAGACTCTTATTCCAGGGAAAGAGCTTAACTTCTGACATAGCAAAGAACTCACCAAAAGAAGAAACATCCGTTGAGCTGATCATATAATGCAGAGTCTGCCTACCAGTTACTAGGTAATAAGGGCTGAGAAGTGAAGACAAGGTCCCTCTTGTCAAGGTGCTTACAGTCTAAAAAGTGGCATAGAGAGCCGGGCTTGGTGGCTCAGCCTGTAATCCCGCGCCTTTGGGAGGCTGAGATGAGTGGATTGCCTGAGCCCGCGGGTTCGAGACCCGCCCGGGGCAGTGAGACTTCATCTCTACAATAAATGAAAAAATCAGCCGGGCGTGGTAGCGCACGCCTGTAATTCCGGCTACTTGGAAGGCTGAGGCGGAAGGATTGCCGGAGCCCAGCAGGTTGAGGCTGTGGTGGCCGGGAGTGGCCACTGTACTTCCAGTCTGGGTGACAGAGTGAGACTCCAACTCAAAAAAAAAAAAAAAAAAGCATAGAATGCGTATTCATCCTGAGATGATATCAAGCAGAAATTCAAAGGGCCACGAGTCAGCTTTGCACATTGGTTAATATACGACCAAACTCCTCCCATGAGCTGGGAGCTGGCAGTCAAATCAGGTAAAATCAGTAAATCCTACTGATTTACAAGGTCATTTTATCTGGTGAGACTTAAAATAGGTTTCCCTAGTCTCCTAGATAGAAAAGCAAAGCAGTCATTTCCCATGATCCACATGCACTGCTCACCTATGGAGTGGCCCCCGGGGCGTGATGGTCTCTGGGAGATAGTCAACCAGGGGGGCCCAGCATCCTCCAGTGCAAGGCATTGGTAAGGGCTGCGGCTGCTTGGTCTCTGTGATAGTCAGCAACCAGCCCGTGTAGGGGGAAATCGGATCATCTGTAGGGCAAGAAAGACAAGCACGCTTTATTTTCAGGGAGAGGAGGTTTCTGTTTTCTCCACTTGGCATTTTTAGAAAGCATCTTACAAATGTGTCCTTGCGAGAATAACTGTCTAACCATTTAATTTGGTAAGCATGAATTACATGATCAAATGGGTGAGAATTACTTGTTTAGGTAGTTACCTGATTAGTGATTATTTGATAACTAATTGATAGTTATTCATTGTAAAGCAAAGGAAAATACAGATCCACGGGGAGAAAAACATTAAATCATGTGAATTCCCATCACTGTGAAACCTGCTCTTCTTCCATTCTTCCCTACCTCAGTAAAGCAGTTTCGCATTTTCAGTTTGCTCAGGAATATTAGTCATCCTGACTTCTCCCTTACATCTAACTCAAACTCATGATGATGATGGTGATAGCAATAATAACAAAACTAGTAACAGTGGGAACTAGCACAGAGCGCTTCCTTGATGTCAGGTATTGTTCTACCAATGAGCCTTATCTTCAAAATTTCTCTAGAATCTCCACCACCAGTCCTAGGCTAATCCATCCCCTATCTCACAGGGGTTACTGCAATAGCCTTCTTACTTCTCACAGCTTCTGTCCTTGCTCTGCTGCAATCTGTGTTCCACAGTGTGGCCAGGGTAATTATTATTATTTTTTTGAGTTGGAGTCTCACTCTGTCGCCCAGACTGGAGTGCAGTGGCCGCTCCCGGCCACCGCAGCCTCGACCTGCTGGGCTCCG